GTTAAAATAATCACGGTTAACAATCAATTGAAAATGTAGTTCCATTGTAAAGAATCCTAGATAAGGACTGTAAAATAAAAGTTGTGTTATTTTGCTCTTAATTATCTCATTTCAGACTCTGGAAGATTCAATCATAACCATATCACAACTACGGATTAGCATAATATGAAGATCCTTAGTAAAATTTTATTGTGTTATCATAACTAATTATTACTAGCCAAAGCTAGAAAACATAACAACCATAAAAAATATCTCTTTGCCCTAACTTGTACATAAACTATGGTCAAATCAATTCAATCAGAAAATAATTATTTAAACAAACGAGTTCGAAATAATGTCGTTGTTAAACTAGACCGGCCACCTATTATTCAGTACTATACATTAATCATAAACCAGAAGTGATACTGTAGTAAACAAGAACACCAATGAGGACAATCAAATGTATTTAAAAACAAATTACAGAACTAGTTAGTAAAACCTAACAACTATATATTAAATGCTCAATTTGCAAAATGTCCATCAATTGTCTCAAATAACTCAGACTTCCTTTGTTCTCACATTTTCATTCTTTACTGTTCAATCTTCTCGTCTCTCTGCTGCCAGACATTCTGTTCACGACTCACGTCATATACTACTTATGTCTACATAAATAGCACACACAATACAAATAACTACTTGACATCTAGTAAGGTTTAAAACATTATCAATAAGATATTAAAATTCAAAAGCAAATACATCTCTAAGTACTTTCTCTTGTTTCTTTTGATGGACTAAATCTAATATGATCCAACTAGTATCAGAAAAGCTTGACTTTTTAACCTCACTATTTAATCGTTACCACTAGGCAAGAAATCTAACCATCCACAGAATACTTTTAATTAATTACATCTTGCATTTTTTTTACATAGATAATAATATTATAATGCATCACTACTGTCAAACAGTACACAATAAACAACATATCGTTCAAGAGTTTAAATGATAATAATCTAGTAAATAAGAACTTTCGTCTAAATTTGAACGAATAGTTTCATAATGTATTGGCGCCGAGTTAATGTGAGACATTAAAGAAGAAGAAGAATGTATTTGTAAAATCTCAGTGAAAGAATTTGAAGTAAATCCAACTTTTCGCCTGGCAATCTGGTCCAAGCTTTTTCAAGGAAAATATTATCAAACAACAATACTATCGAATATAAATAGGTACTTATATAGATATTTAAATTCGAAAATTTTGTTGTTTGATTATATTTTCCTTTAAAAAGTTTGGACCAGGTTGCCAGGCGAAAAGTTGGATTTGCTTCAAATTCTTTCGCTGAGATTTTACAAATACATTCTTCTTGTTAATAATTTAGTAAAGTTGAGAAGATCGTACATTCATTATAGTCATTAAATAACTGATCAAATTACAAATAATTTTATTCTACAAAAAATAACCCCACATATATATACACAATAAATTCTGTCTTTCAGTGTTTCAATCCTATTTTGTTTTTTTTTTGTTTTTATTCAGTAGTATCAATTTGATTTTTGTTTGTATGAATAATAATGTGTACAATTGGATTATTCATTCATTGAACAAGATGTGTTACTTTTGTAAAATGATATTCAACTATACTTTTTTTTCAATTAATTTATTTTGACACATTAATTTTATCAAATGAATAATTAAACAATCGGTGATATTAATTTATATATCTAGTTGTTTAAATATAAAAGTTATACACTAGTCAAACAGTTAGTAAATGTTAAAGTAATAACTAATACTTTATAGAAATTTATTGTTTCCTTATCGGATCATCATTATAATATTTTCATAGTTCAATAGTTGAGATCATGAGTCAACTAAAGCTAGACCACCATGGAAAACCTGGAAGCACTGGACAGTTGTTTCGTCCTATTCTGGGACTCCTCCTCCCCTTCTGATACTTTTCATAGTTCATTTGATTACTGTTATAACATAACTAACTAGTTCAAATTTATTTAGTCAGTTTTGAGTCATGTTATTTGTGTAAAAAATAATCATTCTATACGACTGCATAAATTAAACTGGACAAAGTGGGGTTACAACCTATGACTTACTGACTGAAAGCAAATTACTCTAAAATTGAAGTATTCGTTCTTGACAGAGTAGTTTTCATGAATTTCTTGCTGGTTTTCAAGCTTAATTTATCGATTAATAATTAATTTAAACTCATGTCTTCAAAATCGTCTAATACCTAACGAAACTATATGAATACTACTGTTTATCCCATCATCAATTTAATATATATTACCTGGAAATGTATTCATTGGTCTGATATAGGTTGAAATGTTAACAGTAAAAATTTACAATTAGTTGATCACTGGGTGGTGATCAATGTCATGTATATCAGTTTCTTCTTAGTACAGATCGAATCCTGTCGACTAAGTTATAATGTGGCCAGCAGTCTAGGTGACTCGACATTGCGTGCACTATGTTGAGATGAGATGGTGGTTAGAGGTAGTCAACAGGGAACCCTGGACCTAGGTTTCGTGCAACATGGCACTCGTCAGCAAGATGGCTACATTGCAACTTGGTCGACAGGATTTGATCCGCATTAAGAGTGACTTGATATACATGACATTGATCACCACCCAGCGATCAACCAATTGTAAATATACCTTAGTCCTACAAGAGGTTAGTCGCGGCCCGGATAGCTTAGGGATAACGTCTCTGACTGTGAAGCTGGGTGATACGCGATCGAATCCGTCAGGGAGCATTAGTTCCCTCAAGATTGCAGGTACACCTTGCTGATGAGTACCAAATAGCACGAAACCTAAGTCCAGAGTTTCTTGTTGACTACCCCCAACCACCATCTTATCACAGTGAAAATTTTGTTAACTAACTTAATTGCTATCACATAAATATTTCTTAATTTTCGGACGATTTATGCCGTGTGTTGTCTGTAAATTATAATAGACATACAAGTAGAATTTAGCCACAAACTTTATCCATTGATTGTCAAATATACGGATAAATTATTTAAATAATGCATACTTCTTAACTGATGAATTTAATTAAAACAATTAATAAACTATTTCAAAATGTTTCAAATCATAACAAATTAAAATTAATTGTTTTACAAACAAATAGACTACAGTTTACTGATTATCAATTTAACCTTAATGTTTTGATTAACCGTCAAAAATGATAATCAATAAACTGTGTCCTCATTAAAGAAAACCTTAGATACCATGATACAAACTTCTAGAACATGGTGTAATAAATAACAAACTGAAAATCTACTCTTGAAACAAAATATACACATAAAAATAAGGGAAACTAGAATGGCTTTATCCGAGTTAGTCAAAAGCTAAGACGTTTTGGCGTACACCTACTTGCCCATAATATAAATATTATAACATTTAAGAGCTCTCCTTATTAAAAGCAGCAGGCTTATGTCATGCTGTCGAATGTGCAATACGTCAATAAATGTATTTTGTGGTTTCGGAGTGATAGCCAGTAACTCGTGTTTTAGTTTGATTTAATGTATCGTTTTTTTGGACTATTTTGAGGTCAACATCTCATTGGTTGTTTCCTTAATGGATTTATTGGACTAGTTTCAAGAGAAAACTGAAATGAGTGAACCAAATAACTGGAGTTAGCCAATAAGACTATTCACAATTTAACTGTTGTATTTTTTAGTGTTTTTGAACCAAGTACCTTTTCAGATTCAAGGGTAATAATGCTTTTCACAAATATTGTAGTGAACGAGAACACAAGTGGAGAAAATCGAATGTGTTTGAACACAATTTTACAGAACGTCTTAGTAAAATCTGAGAATCGTACAGTAAATAGTTCATAAACAAAATTTCCATAAATTGTCTCAAACTTGACTGTTCCTTTCGCAAATGTCAATCAATCGTCCCAGACTTCACTGTTCCTTCATTTCCACAGCAATTACTTACTGTTCTCACTCTCTTTTCTTCGATCTTCTTAACCTTCTGCCACCATGTATTTCACTTTCAATTGATGATACATGCTACTTATATCTGTCAATACCAGTAGCACACATCACAACGTAAGCTTTCAATAATTGATTCTGTCATAGGATCATTATTCTTATGGATTTTTATATTAGGAAATGTCTCTTACAGGTGATGGACAGATCAGTTACCGAATAGTAAACAATACCTTACCCTAATCTTCCTCAATACCATCAGTTTCGTACATAATTTATCATGATATTGAATTGTTTTATTTTCAAAACCGGTTCTTATTACTACGTGGATAAACATCAGCATATCCAGAAGAAAACAAGATTATGATTATAACTCAGATAGTAATCTAGAAGCATACAAAATAAAACAATTGTTTACAGAAATTCTTAAAGAACCTTAAATTTAATCACTTCATAATTAATAATTATGTGGGCTGCTCTGATGTGCTTCTTGGAATTGTCCTTTTTTTCAAAAATTAAATTACTTCGTAAAGTTGTCGTATGATACTTACATGTTCTCAAAGTTATAGAATGTTTCCGTTACAGATTTTGTTTCATTCCAAATATCTTTCTTTTAGGACTGAAATTTTGTACTGATCAACTTTATGACTGTATTTGGTTTATAATTTTTACATATTATAGGTGATATAATTCAAGTAATCTGTAAATCTGCAGGAAAATTGCCTAGATGTTACTGATTGATCTATAGTTGATTTTACTGTCCCTCATTACTATTTGATACAGATGTAGGGGTGTAAACTGTCTGTCTGCGTTAAATGCTTAAACGAATTGTGCTAGTTTGGAGGTATCAATGTCATGGTTAAACTTGATAGTTTCAAATAAACTGAGCATTGAGTAGAACGTTAATAGAAAATATGCTATTTATTTATTTACTCTGAAGATGTGGCTTACATTAGGTCACAAAATGTCCGAAATGCAATTTTCTACTCATTGGGATATCACAACTAGTATATTTATTATTGCTTTATGTGAGATTTTAAGTGTCGTATTTTCTTATTTCTACTATTCAAATTGAAATAGATAATTTGTGCAAATGATTTGCAAAGTCCAAGACCATTAGAAGGATTCGGATTTTCACTTGGATTGAATGGCGCTGACTTAGATGAAAATGGTTATCCGGATATGGCGATTGGAGCAGCTTTGTCTAGCTCTGTTGCAGTGTTACGAGCTAGACCTGTAGTCAAGTAATCTTCTTCCTTAGAGTGAAATTGTTTTACGGTTTTTATAATTTACATATTAATATTTTATTACACATTAACGTGAAATAACTGGAAATTCACAAATCACACCGATCTTTGAGCTTTGATTTTACGGATCTAGGTTTTCAGCATCTATCTAAAAATTTACAGTAAAGCTTTAGAAATCAACGAAACGATTCACTTTATGTGTTCTTCATATTTCACCTAATAATTTAAGTACAAATTGCAGAAATTATTTTCAAGCTTAGCTATATAAATTTAAAGATTATGGTTTATTCTGACATTGAATGTACTTATTCTCAATAGAATTTCAATATAAACTCAATACATTATTAACTTATAACGTACCATGTACGCGAAATATATAATATTTGACCGGCTTCAAGATGGATTTCCTAGAATTCTAGTGAGAAGCCGTGACCAGTGAAGTCCAATCCGTGTCAGGTGTGAGGCAATTATCCACCTCAGATAATGTTTGAATGGTTGCTCAAGATCATGGATCGATTTAGGTTAAACGTTAACAAAGTTAGATACTGGCCCAGTGGTCCAGAGGTTAAACATTTGCGCGTAAGACAGATGGTACTAGGTTCGAATATCAAGTGCGGGATCGCTGATGTGCACTGCTGAGGAGCCCTGTACTAGGACAAAACGGCTGTTCAGTGCTTTCAGGTTTTCACTTGTGGTCTATCTTAGATCGACTCGTGAATTCAACTGTTAAAAGAAACTTTAAAATAGGGGTTTGTTTTTTGTAAATATTCAACAATGACTTTCATTGTCTGAATAACTTATTAAATATTTGTAATAAAATCAAAGAAATATAAATAAAAGTCAATTTCAAGAATATCGAATGAAATAACGTGGAACTTCGTACGTACGTACATCAATTCGAGTTGCATTACCAAATTAACACAGAGGTTTAGTTGTCGATTCAAATCCCGTAGTAGTAGAGGTGGTAAGAGTATAAGCAGTAATCGGAAACATTAGGGTTTGAAGATGTTATTCAAGGAGTATAATCCAGTGGAATAGATTTGAAAAGAGGAAAAAGGGAACATGAAGAATTCAGAAGACTAGAAATTTTACGCTGAAATTATTAACAGTCATTTCAAGTGAAAAATATCTTTTTCAAATGTTTTACTGTTTTTTCTTAAATTTCACTATCCATATATTATTAAAGTATTTTTATTATTTATACAGGCTAAGAGCATATTTAACATTAATGGATGGTAGTACTATTCTGCCTAGTTCATTAAATTCATTGATGGATTGTACTCATGAAGCTCAATCGATTACTGGATATAAAGCTCCGTCAGCTAAATGTATTGATATGAAATTAATTCTCACATACACTAGTGTTGATGGGTAAATTACAAATACGATATGTATTATTCATTTAATAATTAAATGCATCATTTAATTATATGCTTAAACTGCTCATTTACCTTGTTTAGTAATTTACTTGTGAAAGTCAATGAAATATCGTATGTAATTAGAAATAAAGTACATCAGTCTATGAATTCCGTAATTAAGTTTTCCCTCCTTTTTTCATTAATATGTAATTATATGATAATAAAACTGATTATAAATTAATACCTATTTAAGAAACGTTAAAATCCCCAAAAGGAGGTAATCTTGGTCAGATTAACGTTTTTTCACGTATAAAACGACTCATTCATTCATTGAACATGTGTGGTTTCGTCAGTAAATTTAAATTTGAAATTCTTATTTGTTTTATTCGTGTTGCTTTTCAAGTAATTTGACACTAAAACTTATACTATCAACTTGGTTTAAAAAGAATTTTGAGAATAATATTTACCGTAAATAAGAACTATATATCATCACCATATCCATGTATAAAGTAGTCCTAACTACTTAACTAACGCAAAATGATATACAATTCCTATCAAAAAACTACAAATAGTCGATTATCGTACTCGGCTTTCATCAGGATACGTCATAACTCTTCTCAATGCAAACCTTCTAACTCCCAGGCCAGAGTTTAAATGGTTTGAATTATTTTTTCTGGTGTTTTTAGCAAGTTAGTTTTCTACGAGATGGGGTCGCTAACCCCATGCCCAACCCACATCCTTTATTCGAAATTTAAGACCGGTAGCAGTCCCAGATGGGCTCCACGCGGAGTTAAACAGTCAATTATTAACGAAACTATTTTCGAAACTACACACGAAATGATTTTAAAAAATTTAGTTTTCTAATGTTCAAACATATTCTACAAATAATACTTTGATAATTTAAAGCTTTTTCTCTCAACTATTCATTGTTTAAGAAATGAAGTTCATTATTTGTCTAGTTTTCTTATGTAGGTTTACAAAAAGAAATACATTCCATTCAAAGCAGAAAGTATTATTATTACTATGTTTATTATTATGTGCTCAACAAAATATTTTAAAAATTTCAATAACTTATTCTGTTTTCTTACTGACTGAATTAGAATACATACTTATACTACTTGCTGGTGGTACCTTATCGATTATCATCAAAAGCATACTTAACTGATGGCGTAATCAGATTTCAGATAACAGCTATTGAGTTTATTGTGTAAAATTCAAACTGTGATAACTGATGACTAATATCTTCTTAAGAGTTAAATAAAATCTAAGTAAAATTTACCGATGTTCAATTACTGAGACGGTTAATTGATAAACATCTAAAGATTAAAGAATAGAGACAATGATTTAAAGTAGATTAAGTGATTTTGATATTTGAAATCAAAAACCTAACTACTTATGTATTTATCCATATGCTTAAAATGTATTTTCCGACTTTATTCCTAATCATTACTCTTAATTCTCAGTCCTAATCGATACTGATAATCCTAATCCTAAATTTTAATTCGAACTCCTAATCTCAACCCTAAATTCTAACCCTAATCGTCTTGCAGTTTTTATGAAGAATATTATGCAAACGTATTATATGCATCTTCATTAGCTAAACACTGGTTTTACTTACTCAAAATCATTCCCAAACCATTGAAGATCATCAATAAAATATACTTTCGTATGTTGATCTTCAAGTAACCTGATTAGTTCTCTTCAAATATTTTATCACATAGTTATTACCAGAACATTATTTAGTCTCCCTTAAAAATTAACTCTATACACTTTAAGTATTAAAGAAAAAAAATCACGGCTATTTCTGTTTAAAAATTACTTAAAATCAAAATTTTCAGTGAGTTTAAAATAAGCTCTATTTCCATGAATAACCTTTTAGTTCATATTTTTATGGTATAAATGTTTAAATGTCTAGTTATGTTATTGAATTAATTTGTTTTCTTCAAATCATACCCTGGGATGCACGTACATCCAGCTGACGAGTCCTAAATAGAATGGAACGCGCGTCCTGAATCCCACTACTAGCCACTATACTTCTTTGAAGATAATGAGATAGATATCAAATAAGCAAAAAGTATAAAACTAGAAACAAGTAAATGGAATTGTTCAAAGAATTCTATGAATTTATAAGAATAATCAAATGAGTATTCTAAATATTTAAAGCAATATAACTGATTTATGCAAATATTCGTCAATATTAGAACGAATAGTTTGACAAAAAATTGTGTGCCGAGTATAGAGAAGTCATCATACGTGAAAATTATATTCGAATTAATCTCAATGATTTAAATAACTTAAATAATAATAACGTTTCGTCCACCAAGCTTGTCTGAACTTCTTCATAAATTGCATAATTCTCACATCATAAATCTCAGTGAATAAAATGATCCCTTCTGCCTACCGATTACAAGCTGTTATGTTGGGAAATGTGATTATTTCCTTCATTTAGAAAAGAGAAATCTAACCTATGTGCTGAAATTTTTTCCCCACTATTCGCTTTACTGATTTTTTACTACATGACATTTACAGAATTATTTCATTCTCTTCTTTTATTTTCATTAATAATTGAAAAAAATTTATATTTTTAGGAATCATCGAAAATAATATATGCAGTTAGTGATAATTTATGATGAATTAGTTACTGAGTAGTGACCAATATCAGTTGTTACCCGAATAGCTCTCTTGTAACGTCTCATTCTGTGTAGCTATTTACATTTTGTTGACGAGTGCCAAAAACAGCACAAAACAGAACTAGCAGAGATTTATTACCTCCGTCAAGGTACCTATCAAATAGATTTTGCTTAACATTTTGAAATCGACTGAACATATTTCTTGAGATGATATTCTTATTGTTAATGACAGTTGCTTCAATAAATTGTGAAGCGAAATTTATTAGTTGAGAAACGTTTCTTCAAACTAAATTGACAAGAATATATAGTTAATATTTAAAACAACAATCTTAAATATTATGATATAATTAGAAAGCATAAAAGAAAAAGTCACTCTGTCATTCATAATCAACATAAAGCTTGACATAAATATGATTCAGTACAGTGAAATAAAATTAGCTAGTTAGCTAAGTAGCCGTATTAAAAATAGTATCAGTGTTAATAGTAAAAAATAAACAATCAATAATATACTTCGAAAAGAAAATATGTTAAGAGTGTATATATGTGAGGCATTGGTAGCAGTTCCGAAGCATATTAAATATTACCTTTAATTAATGATCGCGGTTATCTCGCCAACTTCAGCTAAATAGTTTGAACCTACCGGTATAACTCAGTTTAAGAACCAATCACTTTATGGGCCAATGCTACACCTTTGTTTAGCATAAAAAACATGTTTCATGTGTTATATTGATTACTAACTTCATCAAACCTAAATCTTCATTTCAATAGCAGCTCATTATTTCTTTCGACCTTTTGAGCGAAAGTTCTTTTTCTTGAACATTTCTTGAGTAATTGCCATCACAAAATAATATGACTGGATAGTTACTTCATCTCAGCATGATGTTTCCCAACCAGTGCGAATTGACCATCCCTACATGAATTCAGATATAGGTCCTAATATCTCCCAATAAGCAATATATCGCATAATCAACGCATCGATTTTTGTTATATCCGGATAAGAATAATGAATGGTAACTTTTGGGACCCATTTATGAACCAATATTATGAGTATATTTTTATCGCATAATTGTTAAGTAACTAAACTATTCATATTCTTGTTCCTCTTATCATAAGCTTTATTTTGACCTATGAACTAGTGTTATGCGATTTACCATTCTTCAGTTATGCCCTGTCTATCAATAATTATCTCCCTTATTCACAGCCACATTTGGCTAAATCCTATGCAAATGTTGTTTCCTATTTTATAGTACGATGTGGTCTGTCTGGTTGGTATATAAACCTAGTATGTTTGAAATAAATGACTCATATCGCAGAGGCTGAGATTGGTGTTCTCGACTTAACACTCTGGGCTAGGCGAGAAGCAGGACCGATAAGGACTCTAGACTGCTCATACGGGTTTTTACGCGTCATTGGTCCGGTCGATAATTCACTGTTCTCTAATTGGCGGTATCATCACGTTATAGATTAACAAGGTACACAGGCCATAAATTATAACAATTTTCATCATAAATTTAATTTTCACTCTAATCTTGTAAACGTTATTCAAATAAAAAATTGTTTATTATTATTTTATTTAAACAGTAAATCTTGTGATCCGCATAAAACGTATCCAGTATCAATTTTATTGAAATATAATCCAACTAATGAATGGCTTTCAGAAGGTTGGGATCAAACTTCACAAAATTATTCACCAAATTACGAAAGTAAATGCACCCACAATCAATATTCAACTGTAATTTCCAAAAATATTATGAAAGAATTTTATAAAAATTATACTTTATCACCAATTGTCTTTATACGAGAGAAAAGTTTATCAAATAGTGAAATGATTGTTAAAGATTATTTTAAACGTAATGAATCTGCTTATTTGACGGGTTATGATAGTCCTGGGGGATATTTACAATTAGAAAGTAATGCTTTTTGTCGTGATCTACACAAAATAAAAGAGAATATACCATTCAGTCAAGATGAATTAAATTTAGCCAGTACATTACGAATAATATTTCGAGTAAGTTTATCCGGATGCAAAGTTGTCTACTCGTTATATATATATATATATATATATATATATATATATATATATATGTTCCATCTAATGCATTTGTGACATTGTTTACACTTCATGGCTCATCGAATAAATGGAAACTATGAGTATTTACATGACAAGTCTGTATACAAGTCTACAATGTGAAATTATTTATTGAAAAAATAAAAAAAACTATACTGTATGATCAATCGTCATTTGTTTTCATCATGAAATCATGTTATTTTCCCATGTTTAACAATGATACATTTATGATTTTAATTAACATAATGAAGTATTGAAAAGTATCATGTGGAAAAAAACTTGTCTTGATAATATGTCTTAAATTCAGTTAATTTTAATTGTACTGGAAAACATGACTCTAATTACATAAGTTAATCAGTAAATTATAATGATCGAATTCAATATACTTAATGGTTAGATATTGTGACATGATTACCTTATTTATTACCATTTGTCCATTTACAGGGAAGTTCAAAGTTGTATAATTAACATTAGTATATAAGCAGTTTAGAAGTATAATAATTTATCTTCTGTGACTCATGTTTAACACCGAGAATTCGCACAAGTAAACCAAGTTGCACGTTTATTAGCTGCATCATTTCCGCATCAAAATTGTTTCAGTAGTAAAAACACTCAATAACTCAGGTTCCAAAAAATTTACCTTTAGTCCACTACACATTGCAAAATATGAGATTGACAGCTTTCGACTTTGCGAAATGTCATTGATACTCTTTAGAACTAATTTACATGCATCGAATAGTAATAGATCTTGGTGTTGTCATTTATATAGTATAATACTCACAAATGATCAAAAGTTACTCCACTTTTGAGTCACTATCTACATGATAGGACCGGAATATTTTCCACTATTTCTAGGTCTGAATTCTGACTATTTCTAGCTCATCACCTCAGTTGCTTACTATACAGCATATAGTGATTTTAATAAAAATATTTTTAATATATTGGGTATTAAATATAGAAATTACATAGAATCCGTTGCGGTCACTAAAAAATCTGGGTAAGAATGTAACCTTAAGCCTACTAAGAACCCAATGCAATAAGAAGTTTATCTGTCATAAAGTATTGTATACATTTAATTATGTAGCATATTTCATAGTTTCCGTTAACTTTTTATCTGTCTAGGATACATATTTGATTGATCAAACTGATCGTTTAAAAATTGGTGTCAAATGGATTGCTAAAATGACTGAACCACATCCATTAGCTGATCAAATTGACGAGTATCCTGTAGCTGATCCACGTGCAAATACTGAACTACTTCAGGTAAAAATAATTTAAAACTTTTTAACACATTTTTACGTATTTTATACATAATGTATGCATTTCCATATATATATATATATATATATATATATATATATATATATATATATATATATATATATATATATATATATATATATATATAAAACGGTAGAAATCATTATTCAATAAAGGAAACAATTGGGCGATAATGTGTCGAAAAACATTAAACTTTCATCTGGCTGATTATTCGAAAACGCAATAAGACAAACAACTAGTTGTTTAGGTCAAACGTTAACTGAAACTAACCAACTGATATTTAGTTCGCTAATAATTTTTAATTTGCTAGTTTTCTTTTAGAATTTTATATCCTGAACTAATAATAGCTAAACAACGATTAAACAACATAAGACATTGAACTTTTGTTTTTTTAAGTAGAATACTCTTTAACAGTGAACACTCACAACTAGACATGAGATCGAGCCCAGGAACTTCAAGCTTTACATATTTATTATGAAGGCTGTCAACAATATTAAAGAATCTCATTGTAATAGAAAACCAAAGTATATCAAGATTAAAAATCAATTGTAGTTTATTTACTATGAATAAGCCAAACACATATAAAGATATAACGCTCGATTATGTAAGTACCCTTATATTTACAGTTCAATAATTAAAAGAAATACAGATCAACCATTTACAAATTGCTTGACTTATGATTCTATATCACTATCTTGTAGAATTTAGGCAATATGGGCAGAAATATTTACTCCCAGTGATAGAAACACTTTTATTCATGTTAGGTAGTTATGAACAAAACATTAGATGCCTGAGAATTAGGTTTTGTGCCAATTCTGATTCGTCAGCAAGGTGTTACTGCAATCCCAGGATAACGGGAGGTTCGTGTGATATTCAAACTTATATCATCAAACCTGACAGTTATTACAAATACAAAGCATTAGCATTTATAAGATAATGTGCACTTTTTTGGCACCTAATTGAAAGTTCACATTTTTAATTAAAAGTTACTATATACAGATTACTGTTATGGTGAAGAAACTAGACAGTGAGATTGTCGGGTTTGCAGATAACATTTTATGTCGAACTATATATTTTTAAGGAATAAACTACGAAGCCCCGTAGCTATCATGGTCACAGTTTAAATAAGCTGATATCTACTGATTATTAGTTTGAACATATACTGCTAACAACAGAACACCTCCAAGTTATTACATTGCTAGTTTTAGTTTTAATACATGTTTATATTCGCTTTTTAGGATATTTTCTAAATACAAAATTAAATCATTCTAATATTTAATAGTCCTCAATCTTTCTACAAACTTATTTATTGAACTATACAAGGTCCCATCTTTTCTTTTAACAATCAATATACACAACACAGTACTTAGGTATAATTTGGTGGAGTTACACAAATCAATTTGTTACCTAAATACGGTTTCCATTTCTGAATGAAGTCACCTGTGGAGCTGTCGAAAGCTAAATTGGCATTTAAATCTACAGTTTAAGTGGTTAAGATGTCACAGGACATAAACGTTCTGAATTGCATGTTATGTTTGAGGTGGTGAGTATGAACTACTAAGGAGTCACAAACAAGGACTAAAAAGATATTCAATTTATCACGAATTTCGATGGTGCTCCAGTTAAGGTCAACCAGTAGTTTTTAAAAATCGCTATAACTCAACATTTTGTTATTATTAAGTCGATCCTCGACAACCATACCAATGTCTTTCAATAATTCCGAAGAACGAGTAATTAATAAAGGTTCTCTACATTAGCAGATATGTGTAAGATAAAAGTTACCGTGACTATAGGACTTATTATTTGGGTTTAAAACATCTGTTACTGTTATAAAATTTATTTAAAAAACAAATTAATCAGCTCATAAATCGAAATACAATGTACATGGCTTGACACTAAAATCCGGGGTTTGCGTTTCGTTGTATGTAGGGCTCGTCAGTTGAACGTAACTATAACCTAAGATTAATGTATACATTAGAACTGAAGCATAGTAATTTTTCCAAACGCGTCATCCACTGAGTTCTGATAGTCACTAATTTGTTTGATGCATATGGCAGTAGTAATAGTTTGAGTTATCCCGTTGTTAAAAAATGAACCATATCGAGGTAAACCACAAAAGATGCGTATATACTAATGAAAACTCATCAAAATTCAAGTCCTACTATCAACAATTAGATAAATCAAACGCTGACAACTAATTATATCAAAATACAGTGTCATACTATATCAATTGTTTCAAATAATTCAATATTACGAGATATATATATATATAGTTCATAAATTCAAATTCTTTTTTAATTTGTAATGTCAGATATCTTTTGATAATCCCTGTGCAATTCGACAATGTTGCCCAACTGTAAGAGTTAGCTATAATGTGAAAGTAACCAGGTAATTGAAATATCTGTATTTATTTTGCAAATTGTGTACATTTACAAACTTTATTTCACTCTCATCTTTTCGAAATAAACATAACTCAGTTAAGACTTGGTATTTATTTTACGATGGAAGCTTACTGAAATGTTTTCTTTAAATAGTCAAGACATTTCTTTCCATTATATATGTTTATTGGACCCATCACTGAATGAAATTTTTATTGTTAAATCTTGGATGAGTTATTTTTTTCTTATCTCCTCGTAATTCACTTTCATTCGAGAGAAAATCGATCCACTCGAAAAGAAAACATCGAGTGAAATTAATATACTTTCATTGTGAATCTAATGTAAAGAAATTGAGGTTAAGAAATAATTTACTACCTGAGTAGTTGTCATGTAGGTCAACATCAGCCTGTAAACTCAACATCCTTTGCAATCGACTTAAGAGCTCTTGACATTCTTTATAATCTAGTACTTCACTTAATTTTATTTCCTTTACTATTAATTTTCTCGAGTTGTCAAACCTGTGAAAATTTCCACGTTGAATCCTTTCTATTTGTTCTTGATTGGAATACTTAATTTACTTCTAAATAAATTACTATCTTTATTTTGGGTTTGTGGCGATTAGTGAATTTCATTGAAACCATAAACCAATCAATGTTAGACCATCATTGAAAACCCAGAAGCACTGGATGGCTATTCCGCCCTAGTATGAGACTCCTCAACAGTGCGCATCCACGACTCCGAACGCTGGGTTCAAACCCAGGACCCTCGATCTGGCGCTCAAGCGTTTTAGTCTCTAGACCACTGAGTTAACATACAACAGTGTCAATGTCTAATATCAACCTGGTTGCAGATGATTTCAATGAAAATCAATACCTACAAATGGAAACATCTTATTCTCTTGCTGATCATAGCTTTTTTGTCTCAGATTCATATCAACCAGCTTTTACGTTTTAATAACTGTCAAGTAATCGTTTCGACTTATTCTAGAACTATTCAACAATAGATAATATTAATGAATGTTTATTTAATGGAACATGATAACTGTAATCTTTGTAATGATTATACTCCTTCTTAAAATCATTCATATTTTCAATTTTATTTAATTTTATAAATGAAGTGATTTATTCTTTGGTTTAATTTGAATTGAAACAACTTAGTAATTCAATTCACTTGGTTATTGTTTTGCTTGTATCTTTCCATTGAGGTTTAAGACTGCAATTGATCAGTCTGTTATTGGCATATGTGCATACTGTGCGTATGCCTCGATATTGCCTTAATAGCTGAGTGGATAACGCGATGGCGTTTGGAGTGAATGGTAATGGGTTTGAGTCCTAGAATGAACATCAATTCTGAGGTGCAGGTACATCCAGCTGAAGAGTCCCAAATAGGACGAAACGCGCGTCCTGGATTCCACTGCTAGCCACTATCCATCTTTGTTCATAAAAAACTTAGTAACTAGTTTAAAGATGAAATGTATTAATTAACATCAATATTTGATTTATGAGAGAAAAAAGAACTAAATTTTCTAGTACTTGTTCATAATGAAACTTCAATATAAAATACATGAAACAAACAAAAAAATTGATTTGTATTAGAAGTAATAGATGTGTTGAATTGAAATAACCGTAAATATCATAATTAAATTACAGATTGAATTGATAGAGAAATAGATCATGATTTGAGAGTAGCCTTTTTTTTACTACATCCTTCATTGATTCAATATTTAACAGATAAATTTGAAACAATAGTATAATGGATAAGATATTAGATTGTTCTATTATTAAATATTCGGTTATCATCACGAATTACACGACTTTCTGAATAAAAATACACAATCCAGTATGTAAGAGAAAGAATGGAATCAGTATGTATCACATGATCGACTGTTCTATCTAACCGAATAAGTCTTATGATTACATCAATGAAATCTTTTCATCAAACTATTCAAAATATCTTGAGTGACAAATAAACCTACTCGTACTTTTATTCACTCAAGACAGAGTTTTCTATTTGCGAATATACATGCACACAGAATCATATAAGATGTCACTTGTTGTAATCAGCGTTATTAAAATACACTAATACAACATATGAATACTTTATTGGCTAGCTTTCCAACTGGAATGTTATAACATAACAGAATATAATTCTAGTTTTCATGACGTGGTCGTAACATTGCTCGAAATCAGCAACTCTCCGACAGTAAGAACTGGATGAATGCAGTCAACACAAGGCCGTGGGTATATATTTTTCACTAGTTAGTGCCTGTTCACAAGGTGTACATGCTATCTCGTCGGAACTGATGTTCCATGTAAGATTCGAAATTGCGTCTTCCAATATTGAATATCATCAATTACCTAAAAATAGATGAAGTGTTTCACCATGTTAAATATCTGTTAACTACAATGTAACTTGATCATTAGAATTTATCCTACCTAAAGACTAAACAATAAGATATCTTTTACCAACATATGTCAAGCCTTATTGATGTGTCATCTTATGAATGTTCATTCACTCTTAAGGTGATATATCTAGTTGAATGAAAAATTTGAATATTTTCACTGTGTTGTAATTACTATCGGTTAGTTGAACGTTGAGAGCAAATCGATACAATCCAAGGTTAGTTACACGAATAAATTATACGTTTATAGTTTAAAGTCAGAAAGGTTCAGAAATCCCATGTATTCTAGAAGGTGCCGGACACTTTTTGATTATGCTGTATAAGAGATTACAGTAAATTACCGCAGCTCAATAGACCTAAATAAATCATAGTAATATTTGTGGACAAATCTTTACGAATATGATAATAGTTGTTTGTTGCTAATCGATTAATATTCTTCATTTTATGTGCGCGCCTATATAGGAAAGTGTGAATAGTGTCTACTTTTAAGAATCAGCTCTATATAATGTATCTGAGCTAAAGTTTACGAAAACTAATCTAGTTGTGTAAAATCCAGTCCGTAAACCGATGAGGCTTTACTTTCAGTGCTGAAATCAATAGGTCTAGTAAACAGATATGAAATATACCATAGATGTTTTGTTCTAAACCAATCAATACATCTCCCAGTAAATACTTTAAAGGATATCCGAAATTAAAGGTATTTTTAATCAGATTATAAACTTTACACAATCTAATAATCCGTGTATAAGCAAAACTGTTATTTGCTATTCTCAAATAATTCTTAGCAATAATCTCTTCCCTTTCTCAACTTTATCATATTATTCTAGAGATAAAAATGGACCTGTTGTTTATGTGGGTGATGATAATAATCAAACAATTGAATTATCCGTTCGTGTAACAAATATTGGCAATGATTTAGTTTATGCTACTGGATTAGTCAGTAATTTTCTACCAAATTTATTGGAACTTGATTCAACTGTAAGTTGTACTAAAAAATTAAGTGTTCTAACATTTATTAACCACTGAAAGATCAATAAATTAATGTATTGATTAGTTTTCAATAACGTTAAGTATAAATTAAAGCATGATAATCTGATCCTTCCTAAAATCATGACTTCTGAGTAATCTTCAAAACATTTACAGTGATAACCAAAACAACTTTGTTCTAAACCTTACAAAAAAGATGTTTAATCGTAAGATATATCTCAGTTGGGATGGTGGAGATTTGTAGCTCACGTAGAAGTTTGTTCTGATGATGTCGTTCAGAACGACTGAACGATCCAGCTCAGAGAACAAAACTCCCTCAAAATATATCTCAGTCGTTCTGTTTTTTTATTTCCTATACTTGTTTAACACCTACTATGTAGATATATTTGTTTGATTCAGAGTTACTTCAATCAATTTAAGCATAAATTACAATATCGATTTTGTTTCATAGTATTCTCTATACACAACAAAAGTGATATTTTATTAACCGAAAGGATAATAGATGAATAATATAAGAGTATCAAAAAATGAAATAAAAATTTCGATAATGTAATAAGAAGATGGAGATTATCAGAACTATGTGATATATTAGCGCAATACATTCCGAACAATTTGATCACACATATACTTGTTAAGAGCATTTATATATAAAAATATAAGGTCAACTAGACTGGAAATGAGGTAAGAGGAGATAATAATAATAATAATAATAATAATAATAATAATAATAATAGTAATAATAATAATAATAATAATAATAATAATAATAATAATCTGAACACTATTCGAAACCTAATCACTCTGGATAATAAGTCAATATTACCAGGGTAGGTTTAATGTAAGAACAAACTGTTTTTGAATACACAAAGGAGGTTTGGATTTTCGTATGGCTAAGGCTTCTTAAAGATTTACTGTTATTATGTACGGACAAAGTTCAGTTCACCTTCAAAGGTGAATACGTTCGTCAGATTGATGGGGTTGCTATGGGTAGTCCGCCAGGACCATTATTAGCAGACGTGTTCATGGCACATGTTGAAAATCAGGCTGATGACTTAATTGAAAACATTTCACTTTATAAGAGATATGTGGACGATATCCTAGTTGTTTGTGAAAGAAAAGAGGATATGTACCGTTTATTAAATAAATTCAACACTCTCCAAAACCATATCAGTCTCTCATGTGAAGAGGAGAAGAACGATCAGCTCCCCTTCCTAGATATACTTCTGAGTAGACGAGAAGATGGCTCAGTCAAGCGATCGATTTTTAGAAAACCAACGTGGACAGGTCAATACCTTAGTTATTATAGTTATTACCCTGTGCAATGCAAACGTGGTTTGATAAAGTGTCCTTTCAACAGGCTTGATCGCATTTGTACAAATGACGCCATTGATGATGATGTTAAGTTGTTAAACAAAACATTAATAGAAAATGGTTACCCCCTGAAATTCATAAATAGATGGAAAGTCCACGGTATAGTGAGACCTATTGTAGCCTCGGTGGAGAAAAAGCCTGTCTACATCACCTTACCATTCAGAGGTGATTCAAATAGTCTGTTATTGAAACAAAGACTTAAATCAGTCATCAGCAAAACGTACTGCGCAGCAAAGGTCATTGTCAAAGAAAGAACAAGGTGCATGTTTCATCCAAAACCTAAAAGACATGAAAACGATTGTGTCACATCCCACTGTGTTTACCAATTTAAATGTGTGTGTGGTCACACATACATAGGGAGGAGCAATCGTAATCTTAACATTAGGGTGAGTGAACATGTACCCAAATGGCTGCAAAAACAAATACAATCAAGTGACCCAATAAGAGCAGAGGATAAACATCCATCATCCTCTATTGCTAAACATATAATTGAAACAGGGCACAAGATTGATCTAAACTCAGCTTTTGTGGTATTATATAAAAGTGTACAAGGGCGTATACTAAGGTTTATTGAAGCCTTAGCCATACGAAAATTCAAACCTCCTTTGTGTATTCAAAAACAGTTTGTTCTTACATTAAACCTACCCTGGTAATATTGACTTATTATCCAGAGTGATTAGGTTTCGAATAGTGTTCAGATTATTATTATTATTATTATTATTATTATTATTATTATTATTATTATCTCCTCTTACCTCATTTCCAGTCTAGTTGACCTTATATTTTTATATATAAATGCTCTTAACAAGTATATGTGTGATCAGATTGTTCGAAATGTATTGCGCTAATATATCACATAGTTCTGATAATCTCCATCTTCTTATTACATTATCGAAATTTATAAAAGGGACTAATTGCTTTGAATAATTATTTGTTGCTTGCTACGATTTTTTTTCTGATAGCATAATGAGTACTAAACTTAATAGATGATTGAGGATAGACATTTTAGCTTCTATGGAAAGGATTACCTATCAATCGATTAGAAACCAAATAGGTAATACACTTAATACTTTATCAACTTGTAACAGACCACAATTATGAATAGAGAAGTGTTTCTACTTACTTCTTAAACATATTTTGTCGTAGACTATATAATCATTCATTGAAAATATGAATATTTGATTGAAGAAATACTTTTATATCTTTCTGTTTAACCTACAGAATCTTTAAAATCTTATAAATTAAACTGTAAATAACCAAAATATTTGTATAGAGGATTTCTGTAGAATTTTTACAGTTTAAATCACTAACTGATATTAGCTAGACTACCACCAAAAATCCAGAAGCATTGGACGGCTGTTTCGTCCTAATGTGGGACTCTCCAGCAGTGTCAGATGTGAGACATATCAACCGCAGTCAATGGATGTGACTTGCACAATCTAATCTATTTAGGTTATACTCCAATGCTGTTGAATGACGACTCAGCGGTCTAGAAGTTAGGCTTTGGATCGCGAGACCAAAGTTCCTGAGGTCGTGGATGAGCACTGTTGAGAAGCGTCATACGAGAACGAAATGAACATCCGGTGCTTCCAGGTTTCCAATGATGATCTAGTTTAGATTAGTTCATGATTTACACCATAAGAATCAAAAGATTTATCTTTGTGTAGCATGTATTATTTATGGTAGATATAAAAACTTCTGCGACTACAACTTTATGTGACATTTTTTGTATTCTCATATAGAAAACTATTGGACAGCTGAACATCTGTTATGTACACACAAATCTTATAAAGTATAATATTTTATAATATAAAGCTTACTTGCAATCATATTAACTCACTTTGCATTGTTCATATGGTTCCACCGATTTGATTGGATTATTTTCAGATGTTCTCTATGTATTTTAAAATGTCATATTCATATAAGCTTATAATTCGTTCCTTCTTATTAAATATATAATGAGATCTTTATATAAATAATTTGAATTGTAAAGTTTAGATTTAACGTATAGTTCATTATAACAGACAAATAAATTATACATCTATAAATATCTATCAGGAAATGTCACACTTGGACTGATACGTTATTTCATCAGGGTTTTGCATATGATATTTGGAATTTAAAGCACTCTAATATAAGTACTATCCATAGACTCCTCTGTAGATTGAAAAAATGTCACATCCGATAAATCAATTGGGGGGATATAGCTTTGGGAGATAAAATTTTAAGAAAGTAAATGATTTATACAGGTTGAGTCTCTTAATGGTAACGAGTGATTTTGTGAGAAATATACTTGAAGGGATTATACGGTTAAGGTATAAAATGATATACCATATACATATAAACTCTTCATTTCAGATTGTGGAAAATTTTAACAGTGGTGAAATATTATGAATACACTTAAATAAGAGAGTTAGTGACCATAAGAGTTTAATTCATGCTTTTGATTTAAAATTTCAATTATTAAAATAATATAACACCGTCTAGAAATGCATTGATTTAACTATTGATAACAATAGAATGTTCACATGGCCAATTTTCGTTCATGATCTGTGTCATAACCTGCTCCTTGCTATACAGAAAATATCTCAAGGATGACTGCAATGAGTAAACGGAAAGTAATCACTCTACAACTGTACGGTATGTGAGAAACGGCAAAAATCACAAAAATTAAATTTTTATCCACGTCTAGTTCTGATTAATTTTCTTCTTGTTTATCTTTTAATTATTGTCTATACATACATGAAAAACAATGTTTAGTTTAATTTTTTCTGTGTTTATTTTAATCAGTCATTTTTTTAGAATTACTTTATAACCAATGATTTGTTTTTCAATCTAGCTAAAAGAAGCCAGTTTAATTCAACCGGATACAGCAATCTGTCATCTTCAATATCCATTAGCTTCTGGTGAATCAAGTGAATGTATGATACGATGGCTTGTAATCGGACATCAGTTAACTGTACAAATGGCTAAATTTCATGTAAATAGTACTGTGTTAATGTAAGTCATTTGCCTGTTCATTTTTTTATATCTTGTTATATTTAATGAGTCGCTTTGTATTTCTTTTCTAGTCGGTATTATTTGTTTACTGTAAATAGGCACACATGAATAAGTAGTCATCTTTCTAACCCCCATGGTAAATACCACGAATTTTAACTTATTTACTAGTTTGGTAGTCTCCCACTGATACCACATATAGTTCATATGTTCTGCTTTCCAGATTTAAACCTTTCATATCACTGGCATAGACTAGACATGAAGATAATTTTCATTAGATGAAGAATATTTTGAAAAACCAAGAATCGCTTAACAGCTGGTGTCATTCATCTGGCATTGATGACTTGCTTCAAGGTGAATGAGATGTGTTTGATCAATCAAGTCAAATATTGTTATAGATCCTCATTGATGATGATGAGTGATAGTCTCAATAAATCATTAATTTACTGAATATACGTAAAATATAAATAATTCCTATTTTAGCTGGTTGACATAGTGCACATTATGAAACTTAAAAGTATTTTGATATCGTACGTTCCACACTTTTGATACTTTTAAAATACAGTGAAACATCTGTTTAGATTTTTTAGGTTTTTATTCCCACTTCAATCCCACACACCGGATAAAGTTTTAAGTGTATATATCTCAACTTTATAGCGATTAAATGCTAGTAAATTATTGAAAAGTATTCAAATAAATAGTGAAAACCGTTTGTTTCACTAAATTTTATCATATTTCTTTATATAATTTCATTTCTAGATAATAAATTCTACACACATAAACATAATTATTCAGATTATTATACTTCAGTATATTATATTGGCTTAAATTTCACTTTTAATGCGATAATAAATTTTGTTTCTAAATGAATGCATTCAAAGCTATATGTATGAGTTTGTCATCTGCTCTCATCATAAGTAGAATCCACAAATGGCTTTCGTCATTCACATCGGTTAAGCAACACTGAAAACCATGAAGCATTTTGCTGTTATTTTGTCACTGTGGTGCACAGAGATTATCAGATATAAAACACAGGCACCAAAAGACCGCGTTACTTTTAGATTACTGAGTTGCATCCTAATAGTCCAGATTTGTTCAATATTATTGATGTGATACTGTTTAACAGGATCATTGAATTCAAAACCAGAAATTTAAAAGTAGTACACTCTCCATGACAACTGACAGTTCTCGGACCAACCTCTGGAATAGTCGGCGACACGTACTGTTTGGCAACCGCATAGTTGGATGGAACAGATTTTCAATAACTCTTGGCTTTCAATGATACTAAAATAACAAGAATCGTTCTCAAAATGTAAATAGGAGTAATACATAGAATGACTGGTCACACTTTAAGTTAGTTACATGTATTTCTTTTCACTTTTAAACTTTTAGAAGTTCTAATAATCCCATACAAGTTGAAGGACAATTGACTAATGAATTACAAGTAAATATTAAAATGATTGTCAATGTTTCAGTATTTGGGTAAGTTGTGATTAATGTCATTACTGTTAACAAAAACAAGATCTTTAGCGTACTAGTGAAAATAACAAATTTCTGATTCACTTTTATTTTCATTATTTCTCTCGTAAATGTTTCATCAGTAGGACTAGGTGGCTTTATCATGAACGCAATAAATGTTTACAATGAGATATATAGAAAAATACGCAAATGAAAGTAATTATCTTATTTAATTTTGTAATCGAAATTATATAAATTGATAGTTATGAATAGTTAGTTTTGTCTTATAACTCAGATATCAGAGACTCTAGTTTGAGACAATCACTTCAAATTAATAAAATTCGATCTTTACTCTTAGTGATATTTTAATGAATAGGATTGAATGTGACTTAACTGTTCATTATTCACGTTATACTATATTGTTCAAACAAGTTCACAAGCCAACTTCAAAGATGTTTATAGGTTTCATTTGACAAATCGAAAAATACTGAATTCTCCTCTTTTTTGATATTATTATATTATTATCTACTATGGAATCACTGAAAACTCAAAAAACCACGATTAGTGTTTTTATCTTAATTTGTAATGTAGTACATATTTTCGATATCAAAAAGGTATCGCATCTGAATTATTAAGACATGTAACCAGTACATGTAAAATTAAGGATGCTTATCACATTAATAAGTCTTAATCATAGACATAGAGCCTGATGATTTATCCTAATTCTTCATGAAGACCATGAATTAATCAGTCACTTAATACTGGCTATAAAAATAAAACATTTTCTGTTTTACAATTGATCGATCACTAACTAGAAATCACTATGGTACTTTTCAAGTCATTTACTGCTCATCAAATTCTTTTAATAAATTTGTAATGTGGTTTATTTTTATGAACCTGAGCGAGCATTATACCCTCAGGATTACATATACATCTTACTGGCTTATGTCAACTAGCAGAAAATCTATGTCCAAGATTTTCTGCCGTACTAATTCCATACCAACTAACTTTTTTTCTACGTTAAGTTAGAGATTAAACTGTTTTTACAATCAATTTTATTTCCAAACAATAATTTCAGTCTTCACTTTTATTAAAATGATGTCTACTACTATTATCTTAGTGACATTTTAATCTAGTGTCAAACTGGTGCTAACCCCAATATCAATTACAACTGAAAACCCTTTAGATACATAACAGTTTAGTCATTTCATTTTTGAATAATTAAACAAAACAACAACGAATAGACACTTTATTATTTCAAACTAAGTAATATAGTACGTGTAGATATGATTAAGTTAATTTATTTTTATAACTTTATAGTTTTATTCTCTGTCGTAAATCATTGTCTCTAATTAGATCTCCATTAATCTCTACAAAACTCTCTAATTAGATTGTAACAAATTTTTCAGTTATTTTTTTCTTGTAGACATTCTATATTATTTATGAATCAGAATTGTATGTAGTAGAAAAAGTTGTCAAATGTAACATTTGACTGAACTGTTCATTTCTGTTTATTTTTGTTTTTCGAATTCATTAGAAAAGAAGAGATATGATTTACTACTTGTGTAGTTGTATTATATTCAAAGTTATTGTATAAAAGAAGAGAATTGGATAAATTAATCATCATCAGGTTTCAACAACCAGATCAATATTACATAAATATTGAGTAACTAGTTCTACGTATTTGAAAATGAAATCACCAACTAAGTAGTTAGTTTGGTTTCCTAAACCGAATACCAAATAACATGAAATAAATGGCTGAGAACTATTCAGAACAACAGTGACTGGATAAATAAATAAATAAATAAATATAAATATAAATATAAATCGTGAATGAATATCAAATATTAAACAGCCTTAAACTAGTGTTCTTCGCTTTCTAATGGTTCTCAGACCGATGTACGTTCGTAATGAAATCTTCTTTCAAACCAATCGAATCTACATAAACAACCTATTTAAATATGATTTTATTCAAAGTTTAAATCTATGCAATTAACTATAACCTTTTATATACGGTTTTACATGTAATGTTCCAATCTGCTTACTTAAGTAAAAGTTAAAAGAGCTAATATCAACTGATAGTGATGTTATTAGAGCACTTTAATATAGTTTTGTTGTCTGTATAAAAGTACAGTATAGTTATTGATCTTATGATTTTTAATGCAACATAGAAAAAACCAACATTTTTGTGTTGGTTTCATTGTAGAACAACTGAACCGAGTACGATTTACTTTAGTGGGAATGTTAGTGACGGGATTAGTTCAATGTCAGCAGAAAATCAGATTGGTGACGTTAGAATTGTTGGGAAATTTACTGTAAGTAATAATCCCTTTACTTTAAAGTTACCTTCATATTGCATACACTAGCATTCACCTTGGTAATATTTAATGACAATCTCTGTTGTTATTATTATTTGAGTGAAAATCTTTGAAATCTGTACCACATCTATCTACTTCATTTGATGGTGATTTACAGCCTTACCATTTCTATCCATATTCTCCAACCTCAACACTACTCGATAGTTTTATTACATACAAGCATCATAGGTTATATTTCACAAACATAAAATGACATAGGAAGAAATCCTGCATGCATAATGTCAATAATGTTACTGACTAAATTCACAATCTTCAAATTTCTGTATAAATATATTGTTCTTTTATGAAAAGAAAATTAATCCTCACTTTATTGATTGACTGATAAAATAAAAAAGTGTAATAGACAATACACATTGAAACATTAAAACCATCCCACTTTCTTTTGTATCACAAACATACTGAAAAGTAATTTTGTTGAAATATAGTTTAATTTATGTGTCTGTTGTTAATTGTAAAAAAACTGCATACTTTAATTAAAACATTTAAGTCAAATAATAGTTATTAGAACTAACATAACTAATTCACTTTGTGTTGTTTTACTTGTATCTTCCCATTGTTATTTAGGACTGCAATGGATCAGTCTCATGTAACATAACTAATGCCATATTCAATATATTAATTCAAGTTTAAAACATTCATTATGATTTTGTGTTCAATCAACTATTTGAAAGTATTGCTTCCAATACTAAATAAAATAATCTTAAGAATGTAATCAGAATAAGTAAAATAAGTAACTCTAAGCATTGTAAACGTTTTTAGTCCACTCTTGAGTAACAGTACAATGAACTGTAAACAGTATAACATCATTGACTTACTAGGTCTCAGTTTATCTAGACGTTTTTTGACATTAAATTTTGAATGAAATGTCGAAAAAAACAAAAACAATGTAGACAGAAATTTGTCTACCATATTTAATCTTGATCGATTGTAGTTAGAAATTATATTTATAGAATATGAATGAAAGTTTTAGTCGATAAGGTTTTTAGAAATTATCATAAAATAAGAAAGATTAGTTCATCGAAAAAATCTCCTTTTTTGGGTAAATTTATTTTCAAAGCTATACAACAGCAAATATATACGTAGCTTCCAAAATGATAATAAAATTTTACTAAACATGGCAATTGTGTACAAAAGAAACCTGTATAACTTCTTCTACCATGATCTCAACCACTCGTAGTATTTTCTTTTCATTTCCTACTTCGTAGCCATCTGTTTCCCTTCTCTCTTCTTCCCTACGGAACTTTAACACTCAGTTGACTTGTTCCTGTTTCTATGATCTTCATGGTTACAATTCATCTCCATTTCAAAATGTTTTCTTACCGCATTGAGTCTTCCTTTTGCAATTATAATTTATTTATCATCTTCATGATAAATGCTCAAGCTGTCAGTAAAGAAATGAAAGTAAACATCAACTCTCAGATGCAGGTACACCCGACTGACGATTCCCGAATGTGACAAAACGCACGTTCTGGATTCTAATGCTAGCCACTGTCTATCTTTGCCTATAATTGTCATACTGTTTTAAAAAGCCTGGTATAGTTCATCAGCTTGAGGAAGCATAAGTATTTACATATCTAACTGAGCTACTATCCCCCCACGTATGTAAGTATAATGCATTGTCGACCTAAATGAATAATTTATTGCTACAATGAACTCTCCAATAGTTAAGACTTATGACATATATTGAGATATGAACTCAGGATTATTATTATAAATACTTACAAATAAAATCACAAAATATTGTTTACTCTGAACCTTAAGCGCTCATCATTCTAACCAACAACTTTCATTGTAAAACTATCCAGTGTCTTATCATTATGTTATTAGGATTTAGATCTACATACCATTCATCTCAGATATGGGAAATTAACATAACGATATGACTAAAATAGTTTGCTATCGTTTTTGTTCTTTTTTTATCACCTAGACTTCTCCCTATGATGACTAGGGTGCTTAGTCAAGGAGAGAGGAATAACAAGAGTTACTAGCAAACTAAAAGCCAAATAACATTCTAATTTGACTACAAACTGTGTATTCATTTCATCCGAAAAGCGTTCATACTATAAATTATTGATGACTCTGGAATACGTCACTAGTTAATGTAAATGACAGTGAACAAGTCTTCCATCAAACATCTCAATTTTCAAAACAGTGATTTCAAACAAAATAGTCATTTCTAGATTTAAGAACTGTTCTCAATCAGAAATGTTAGTTACTGGCGAATAAGAGAAACGGTATCAAGTAGCAGTTTTAGACTGTCTTTCTAAAGCTATTTTTATATGTAAGTATTGTGCTGTTTCTTACTGTTCTTGTTCTTGTGTTGCTAAATAAGGTACGAAATTTACGTAAACATAGTTTAATACCAGCATCACGTCTGATCATTGATTGGCCTTTTGAAATCGCTGGGCTTATCAATGAACCACATGGAAAATATCTTCTCTATTTGCTTGAAAATCCTTACGTAACTCAACATGCGCTTCCAATTCCTGGTCAAACATTGGACAATGAAACTAGTGTTGTTTGTGATTCGAAGGCATTACAGAAAGTTGTTAATCCACATAAGTTCCGAGTGAGTTCTTTTCAGTGGTTCCTATCATTTTTGTGTTGATATAAATGACTGTTATTTTGTGTTCTGAGGTATACCGGTTGAGCTACGAATATACAAGCTACTTATACACAATCTTATCCGTGTACTTGAATGAAAATCCAAGAGGTAGGAACCATTAACTCAAAGCCCCGAATAGAAGATCTATGCACAACTCATTTTTAAATACATATCCGTTTCCCTCAGAAAATTAACGCAGAGCTTCAGCCAACAATATGTATCTGCTTCCTCAGGAAGTTGAGTCAGATCTTGGCCAATGACGTGCATTTGTTAGCATTTATCACCTATGATGTGGGCTTAAGCCAATATATCTGATTCGCTCATCGTATCACGATGCTTTCAATTAATCTCTGTACTGCTTTTTATCATACAGCATTTTAAGATATCAATCACGTTTTCTTCAAAGTAAAGCAATGAAATCGAAAATAAAGAAACATGCTTCTGAAGCAAGAGAAAGTGGATATTATCGAGTGAATATAAATAACTCACATTTATGAATGGATGATAGCCTAATCACTTAAATTTTCTACCTTGATTCAAATTATAAATAAGTGAGATAAATTATAATTCAAAAAGTAAATGGTAAATCGCAGGTTAGAAAACTAAAAAGCACAAGATAACCTCTTTAGAAAAGTATCACAAAAGTAACTGACCAACTAACATCTTCCTTTAAAACACATCATTCAGATGAAGTTACTTTTATGCCACTGGTTGGTAAAAAAACAAGCTATAGTAGAATTGAAACACTCTGTATTTTGTACTGTTATAAGTTATTGGTCATAAAATTATTCTGAAGATATGACTCAGTAATCCATGTTCCTTGTCTTCCACGAAGTTTTGAGAACAGATTCATATGACCGATTACTAACTGTGGTGTCCCAGTTTTATATTCATTTCGGTCTAGGAATTCGAAAACTATATTTAGTCCTCAAGTAATAGGTATAGCTCATAACTTCGTGCATAAACCCATACGATGTTGTTAATCAGGAATTTGTTGCATTATCGTAATCATTATTGACGTAACTATTATTTGAAGTTACATTTAATGTATCATTCTACATAACCACCTACTTTTAATGGCACTACTGTGAGATTCCTAAGTTAATCATTACACGCGATCAAAATGCAGTGACTCTATTATCCCAATATACTTTATTCGTTAAAGCCTATAAGCAAACAACGTCTTAGATCATAGCATACTGCATTACTAATAATAATCTGTCAAAAAATACCCAAACCGAGATTAAGAAACTATTTTATTCCGAGTAGATCAATCTTATTCTATTCATTTGTGGAAATACATTTGTTCTATCTTTATTTGTCCAGTGAAAATAATCTCTGTAAGTAAAATAACCCACAGTGTCATTGAATAAGAAAAAGAGAGTTCAGTGAAGAAAATTTTCTTTTCAACGAAATCATTTACTTAAGCTGTACATAAATTTTCCATATATACGAATGTACAGCTTGAGTAAATGATTTCATCGAAAAGAAAATTTTCTTCGCTGAACTCTCTTTTTTTTATTCAATCTCTGTAAGTCCTCAGTAACCAGATTTTTCATATGCCTCGTCGTTTGATAGTTTATCACTGCACTACCTACCTAACTGACCATTTTGGATTTTAAGGACAAAGTAGAATTAGTAGAAGTTAATTCAAGCAAGTAATAAAAATAATCTAGCGTGATGATGGTATCATGTACCAGGAACTTACGAATATTCACTGCTGGACACTTAAAGGCATTGTTATGGTCCAGTAGCCACTTATCGGGATCGTATAGATTCAGTCACATATGATCCCTCAGGAGTTTAATATCCTTCACACAGGAATTATTCAGTCTGTTCTTCAGAAAGTGATTCATATCGGCTAACATCATAAATATCGCATTTATTGGACATATGAATTATATAAGATGATCTATCCTAATGCTATAGTTGTTTTCTTTCGAAGATATTTTCTAGATTAAGAAAATCAAATGATGGTGTACCTGTACGAACTGCGCCAATTAATATCCCCTCAGACAACCCTTCTCCGTATCCCCCACTATCAGACAAAATGACCTTGGAACCAGTTCCCGATCGTTTGACAGATTCAAAGAAATTAGTTGATCGAAAAATGACTACAATTGTAAGTATTGATCTGTGTGAACATAGTTGTAGATTGTATATTGTTCGTAATAATTACATTATTCGTTCACAGAATGGTGGCTAATTTTGTATTGTTGAATTGTTAGTTCTTAACTCCTAGTTCCATTACAATCCTCCAGATTAAGTGGCTGAGCATCATAGAGCATCAAAACATCTTAATTATACAGGAAGTCAGTCGCATCTGGCTAGGTAGGTTTTCCTGCTGAATGCTTACAGCTACTGAGCATTTTAAGAAATAAGTTTTATTTCCATTTTTAAAGTCTATTGATGCAATGAATACTGGTCATAATTCACATCAAATAAATTTTGATTTGTAATCATTACCATCTTTCACCTTAGCAACAGTACGTTCATTTACTTTCTTCAGACAAATAATTTGCTCGTTAATAACTTATTTTGTCAGCCAGTGATTGGATCATTTTCTGTATTTTATTATTTTCTTAGACTTTAATTTCTTGTAAACATCTTATATTTTTAGAGTTGTTATAATGGACGTATACGATGTGTACCAATTATTTGTGATTTAGGCAAGTTATCCTATAAAGCTGGACCAATTACACTTGAATTTATCGCTAGACTCTGGGAAAATACAATGCGCGAAGTTAGTTTTAAATATTCTTACTATTTTTTTATCGTTTTCTAAAATTATAGTTTGATTTCAATGACTTTTTGTCGTCAAAAATGTTTACTCACTACAGCATAACTTATTTAATAATGATTAATGATGTATACTAAAAACGTTTGTAATGGTGAATCAAGATTAACATTTGTCAACAAACAATTCAAAAGTCAATCTAAGCTCTACAAAGTTGAAGAATTGTTAACTGGACTAATCTAGTGTTATATTTGTTTAAATGATAGCTACGTATGTAATTTGAGAGCTGACAAGTCTATAGACTTTGATTAATGATCTTTTTTTGTAGATAAAATTGGCCTACCTAACAAACTTTCCTGTTTACTACGTACGGTTTCTAATGATTTACTCTAATAGGAATCAATAAAACTACCGATTTATGAATTCTGATATAAAAATCCATAAAAAATTACATCAGCCTTCAGTGAAACGTACTCAACAATTTTACTCGGAAACCCTCACCTATTGATGACAGTGAATGAGAACTGGATTAGACTTCCAGGTCAAAGGCTCGGTGTGTGACCCCAGAAGAAAGCCACCTGCTTCGGTTTGGACACCCGGTCAGTATCCCAGACCTCACACAAACTGAATAACGAAGTGTGGCGCATATATATTCGGTGCTTCCTTGTACCAATGTTCATGTGTTGGGATAAATTTACTGAACATCAATTTCGGGTTCATTCTTTTTCTTTGTGTTTACTACTTTAATATTTTTAGTATAAACTTATCTAATGTCCCAATGCCGTTTCTGAAATTTATTATTTTCTTACTGTTATCATCTTGAAAGTGGGTATTGATGAGACATCAACCACCCAGATTTTACAACAACTTGGGTGGTGGAATCACTTAACTAATAAGAAATGTTGGACACAGTTTGATTTTTTTACGATTTAGTTCGTGATAAATTAGTTTTTAATGATAAAATCTTTCTGCAATATTCTAAATTTTAAAGAATATAATTGCAAATTTGGAGTCGTTTTAAGGTCCTATAAGTGACTCTGAAGCATTACAAAGTCAATAATATGGGAGTCACTTGTTTCAATTGTCACGACCAACACTTTCTTTCCGCTCTTTTTTCGTAATACAATGCTTTAAACAATAATAACACAGATAAATTAATAACATGACCAATCAGAACAATCAAACTATACAGAAATTTAGATGAAATCTTCTTCTTCGGTGTATTATTGTCGGATACTTCACTTCACTCGACTGATCAAATCAAAACACAACTTGGACAGAACGTAAATATATTTCAAAGCCGATAAGTCTGATACTGACTTTCTAGACGTTTCCTATAGCCTCACACTACTTCTACACTTCAACACAAACAATAGAGAAAAGATGCGAAATCTTAGTAGAAGCTTTGTTCCAAAGTTAGTTTTGTACAGAAAATCAAGCGTATTTATGAAGTTCTGCGTGACCTTGGTCTTCTAAGGGTTTTTGGAAACATAAGAAAAATAGTGACGGCATAGGTATTTATCTAATCAAAAATGTGACACGTGACCTGTCAGTTTCTGGATATTTTTGAGACGCTTTTATTCACTGCAGATAAACATTTTCTAGATTTTCCTGGAATTCTATGGACTTTGATGATCAGCATTTTTGGACTCTCCAACGAAAGCGAAACAGTAGGTTTAAGTAAATTAATATCGTAAGAAAAAATTAATGTACAGATAAACCTGACACATGTATATTCTAGAGTCTTCTCAGTTCATCCACTAGCGCTAACTAGTTGAAAATGAACAGTTTAGCTCGCTCCAACTTGATATTTTTTGAAGCATGCTTTGATCAAGTTTCTGTCCCGCTAACATCCAACTAGTATCAAAGAAAGCAAGATCAAACTGACTTTTGGCTGGCCTTAAACAACAACCAACTGAAACTTAGGAGTACTGAACAACCACTTTGAACTAGACATGTATAAAAATAATTTGAATATCTAACCAGAAATTAGGAAAATAAAAGTAACAGATAACAATGAAACCTATAGAGTATATATTTTTGTGCCTAGTGGTATACAAATAAGTATAAATCAATTAGCAGTAAATAAACTAATATAATTCGTTCATAAGTAAAATTCATTTCACAGTATAACAAATTGACTGAAGTTAGATATATAAACCATGAATTTAAAACGTCGTTCTGGCTGTGAAATCTGAAGACTATGGAAGTGTTCCCCAGTTGTGCCGTGGATATGCAATGCAGGAAAATCACATTTTAGGACGAAACAGTTGTTCAGCTCAGGTCCACTTTTTTTGTAGTTGTCTAAGGTCACTTCTTTATATTAAATACGACATTCTTACTTACTTACTTACGCCTGTTACTCCCAATGGAGCATAGGCCGCCGACCAGCATTCTCCAACCCACTCTGTCCTCCGCCTTCTTTTCTAGTTCCATCCAATTCTTGTTCATTTTTCTCATATCTATCTCCATTTCTCGGCGTAATGTATTCTTTGGTCTTCCTCTCCTCCTTCGACCTTGAGGATTCCATATGAGGGTGTGTCTTGTGATGCAGTCCTGTGTTTTCCTCAATGTGTGTCCTATCCACTTCCAGCGCTTCTTCCTGATTTCTTCCTCCACTGGGATCTGATTTGTTCTCTCCCACAGTAGGTTGTTGCTTATAGTGTCCGGCCAGCGGATCTGAAGTATTTTGCGTAGACAACTGTTAATAAACACCTGTATCTTCTGGATGATGGATTTCGTAGTTTTCCAGGTTTCCGCCCCATACAGTAGAACTGTCTTGACATTTGTATTGAAAATTCTGACTTTGGTGTTGGTTGCTAATTGTTTTGAGTTCCAGATATTCTTCAGTTGTAAATATGCTGCTCTTGCTTTGCCAATCCGTGCCTTCACATCTGCATCGGATCCACCGTGTTCATCGATGATACTGCCCAAATATGTAAAGGTTTTTACATCTTCCAAAGCTTCTCCGTCAATTGTGATTGGATTGGTACATGTTGTGTTGTATCGAAGAATCTTGCTTTTCCCTTTGTGTATATTGAGACCTATTGCTGTTGAGGCTGCAGCTACACTCGTTGTCTTCTCCTGCATTTGTTGTTTGCGTATGCGATAGAAGAGCCAGATCATCTGTAAAGTCTAGATCATCCAATTGCATCCTAGCTGTCCACTGTATCCCGTGCTTCCCTTCAGATGTTGACGTGTTCATGATCCAGTCGATCACCAGGAGAAAGAGAAAGGGTGAGAGTAAGCAGCCTTGCCTGACACCGGTCTTTACTTCGAACGACTTTGTCAACTGTCCTCCATGAACGATTTTGCAGTTTAATCCATCGTAGGAATTCCATATGATATTGACTATCTTCTGAGGCACGCCGTAGTGTCGAAGAAGCTTCCATATGGTTGTTCTGTCCACGCTGTCAAATGCTTTTTCGTAGTCGATGAAGTTGATATAGAATGATGTATTCCATTCAATTGATTGTTCTACAATGATCCGTAGAGTTGCGATTTGGTCTGTGCACGATCTATCCTTACGGAATCCTGCCTGTTGGTCACGAAGTTGTGTGTCTACGGAGTCCTTCATCCTGTTTAACAATACTCTGTTGAAGACTTTTCCTGGTATTGAGAGAAAAGTGATTCCCCTGTAGTTGTCACAGTTGCTGAGATCGCCTTTCTTTGGTATTTTGACTAGAAGACCTTCTTTCCTGTCTTTTGGTACCTGTTCCTCATCCCAGATCTTTCTGAACAGAGTTTGGAGTATCATTGCAGTTACCGCTACGTCTGCTTTCAGTGCTTCTGCTGGAATGTTGTATGGTCCTGCTGATTTACCACTCTTGATTTGTCTGATAGCCATGCTGATTTCTTCAATAGTTGGTGGGCCAACATCGATTGAGAGTGCTGCTTCGATATTGGGTGGGTTCAGTGGTGCTGGTCGATTCAAGAGTTCTTTGAAGTGTTCTACCCACCTGTTTCGTTGTTCTTCAATGTTGGTGATTATCTTGCTTTCCTTGTTTTTCACTGGTCGTTCTGGTTTACGGTGATTTCCAGACAGTTTCTTTGTTGTGTCATACAGTTGTCTCATGTTTCCTTCTCTGGCAGCCTTTTCCGCCGTCATTGCCAAATCTTCCACATATTTACGTTTGTCAGTTCTGATGCTCCCCTTCACTTGCTTGTTTACTTCTGTGTATTCAGCCTGTGCCTTGGCTTTTTCTGCTCTTGTTCGACTGGTATTGACTGCTGCCTTCTTGTTCCTCCTTTCTTGAATCTTATCTAGTGTATCGATCGTGATCCAATCCTTGTGATGGTGCATCTTTTGACCCAGAACCTCATGACATGTTGAAGTGATTGCCTCTTTTATATCTTTCCAGTTGCTCTCCATAGTAGTTTCTTCTCCATTGAGTAGATCATGAAAGGCCTGGAACTTATTGCTGAGGGTTATCTTGAATTTATTGAGTTTGTCATTATCCCTAAGAAGAGCCATATTAAATTTTTTTGATATTGTCCTCCCCGTTGTCCAGTGCTTCTTGAGTTTCAATTTCATCTTGGCGACCAGCAAGTGATGATCTGATGCTATATCAGCTCCTCTCAACAATTACTATTAACCCCTATACTGATAACTCCACATAATTCATATTACTAACTTCAATTAGACAGCCAATCGAAACTAAAAAAGCACTAAATAATTGTTTCGTCCTACTATCACAGAACTTTTCAACAGTGAGCATCCATGACCCAACTAGAGAATAAACCAGTGACCTTCAGGGTCTTCAGTGAGTTAACTGCCTAGTGCTATCTGGCTTCCAATAGTTGTTTAACTTGAAAAAACGGTCGGTAATATAAACCAAAAGATGGAACCATCTTCATAAATCTCTTATACTAACAATTTCAAATAATATTCACCTTCTTTCTCAAATTGTCTTTTATTTATTCATTTACTGATTATTAGGACTTTTTAAAAGTATTTTTAACTAAACTACATTTGACTGCAACATGGAAAGCTGATGTTAAATATGGCATAGACCTTGGCGGTTCGGATTATGCACAAGATACAGTAAGTCAATGAAAGTACACACAGATTTTATCCGTGTTCCCACTTGATTTTATCTTTGAATCAATTATGCATTATTTTAGCTTTAAGTAATTTAATAATAATTGTGATGGTGAATTTTGTCCTAAATAAATAACAGTTGTTAACATCCTTAAATCTATTATAAATGACTAATATATTTAAATTATAAATAAATAAAAAATGAAATACTGTGATGTATGCTACTTGTGTCTGCGAACGTAAGTAGTATGTAACACCGATTAGAAGTGTTATGCCTGTCAAAAGAAGGTTGAGAAGATTGAACTGGAAAAAACAAAAATGGAAACAGAAAGGAATTAAGAATTAAAAGAATTATCAAGGATGTAATGGACAATGGATGAAAGATTTGTAAACAAAGTATTTGATGCATGGTTGTCATATTTTACCAAAGAACTCTGTAATTTTTTTGGTCAAGAAATTTACCCATCTGTTATCGAGTTGTCATTACATTAAAATATCAATCAAATAACGAGTATGATAGTATTTTGATGCTGTTACATTCAAAATACTCAAATAGTTGGAATTTAATTTATCTATATAAGTTGAAACAGACGAAGAAATTTTAATAATAGATTTCATCAAGACTCTACCCATACCAACTGTTATGTATACTTTATTGTTTAAATTCGATAGATTTCAAAATTAATATAACAATAACTTGTAGTAATCAGTAGTTAAACAGATGAGATTTCAGATTAATTTCGATAAAAAGCAATTCTGTTTATAACAAAAAGGATAAATTGATACTTCAATGATTATAACAAATTCTAAGCGTATTGTATTTTGCATATCAAATAGAAAAGTTAACATGTGTTAGAGTTATTAATCTTCACATTGGACAGTTTTATAAGTGAAATTCTTCTTAGTATTTATTTTCAGTATCACAAGAAATTATTCTGTTAGAAATAATATTCCCAAGGTATTCAAATCACAACCCTACTTTATTCTACTGTTTGTCTGATAAACTCTAATGTAGACTCGAAATTTAAACAAAGTAATCATAATAATTATACTCACTTTATTCAATACCAGATGTTTGATTACAGTAAAGGATTTTTAACATGAAATATACAATATTACAAAAAAGTTCCTCTTATGTATGTATTGGACCTGTGAAGATACAAGAAAATAACTATTTAAAAGTTTTGGAATAGTGATAAACTACTATTCCTATTCACCCGTAACTTTTTTTTACAATCGACATTGCTGCCATGACATCTCTTTTCATTTCTGGAATATATTTGATGTCTGAATTCTATAGTATTTGCTTTTTGTGTTTCTCCAAATTATAAAAGAGGAGGGAAATATATAAACTATCACGATGGATCTTCTTAAGTTTCTTAAAAATTGAATTCACAAGAGGTTGTAAACATTCCATAAAAGTGTGTAAATATATATAATTGGTAAAAACGACTAGTCAAGTAAATCGAAAACAGGAACAGATAGTAACCGCCTGTTTAGTAAAATAGTTGAGCCATGAAATTGAGCAGACCACTACATTTGATTACCATTAATTTGTATATCACTTTTATATAATGAACTTCTGATGATAATGTGTTAGTAAAAACTTACCTGACTCAGTTTCATAATTGGTTAACATCAAGGAAAAGTTTTAATACAAAATAAACCATGAATAACACAAAGATTTATAAACCGACTGATTCATTTTTTATTTATTTAAACACAAACGTATTGGTAAAAAAGGGAACCAAAATAAATATAAAGATAGGGGAGGAAGGCGAGTTTAATCAAAAAAACCAAATAAACGAAAAGAACTAAGTGGGCAAAGGTAGTATACCCTTGGTAAGGCAGTTCAATCAAAAAATTCTTTCTCGTAAAATATTTTTTGATCAAAATATTTTACCAGAAAGAATTTTTTTCAATTAAAGTTCCTCTTATTTTTGTAAAGTAAAAGAAAATTAAAGGAAGACCTCTACTGGCTTTTATTCTATCATTATCGGATCATGTCTCAGGTCACTGTGTCGTGCTATCTGTAGAAACTCACCTACAGAGTCATGAATGACCGACAGATTCCAGTTCTGTACAACTTTCCTTCATACCACGGTACCATGCCATACATTGACCGTTTCTCCGTTTTTCTCAAGCATTCCCAGCATCGTAAAACAATGCATGATGTAGAATTCGTGGGACTGACAAAATGACTCGTTTTTCTAATTGAGATAATTTATCGAACAGCTTTATGGCAACGTAACATTGAAGATATGAAATTATGATTATTGTTTCATCTAAATGACACCACAGTAGCTAGAAATGCATCCATGTTTGAAAACTAGGAAGCAACGTGAATAAATGTAAATAAATTATGATAAATACAAATGTATTGGAAAATAGTGTATAACTTGCAATGACTTTTAAAAAGCATTGTAAAGCAGTGGTGACATTTTTAAAAAGAATTTCAAAAAACCTACTAATTTAATCTTACCACACATGTTTACAATCATATTAATTTATTCAAACATTATCGGTACCTCAATTGTCCTCTTCAATTGTCTATATATATATATATATATTTGAATAATGATTATTATCTTGAATTCTGAGCTACAAATCATAATTACTTTAATTTGTATTCCACTAATCTGAACTATTTTCAACTGTTTCAAGTTAATATAAACTGGTTTTAAATTATTATTAATGAAGTCCATTAATGTTGTATTTCATAGAATAGATTTTACAAATGTTAAATAATTATCTTCAGTTAAATATTTTTTTCTAAAAATCAACTAATATGAGGATATTTTTCATCACGATTTAACATTATTTTTACAATCCGAATAGACTAGGAAGTACTGAATAAATATTCGTTTTCTAATTTAGAAATATAATGTTACAAAATTATATACTCCATTGGCGATCAAACTTTTAGACTAGGCTATCAAGTTTATTAACAAATTAGTCATTATTTCGATCAATTGTGTTTGGCAAATGAACAGATCCTTATTATCAATAGCTGGGTTCTGATTGGGTAGCTGAATGATAATGTTTACCATAAAACTTGATAGTCCTTGATTTGACCTTATATCAAGTGAAGAGTTTTGAACCAGAACAAATCAAATATTCAGTTCACTTACATACCTAGTATTTGAAAATGTTAACCTATCCAATGGTTAAATAAAATAATATGCTTGGTGAAACTTAAACTAACCAAATACTTGTATAAAATAAGAAAATCGATAGCTCAAAAGATTTTTCAAGTTCCTTTTGTTCCCAATACCGTAAAGACATAATAACAGCACCGATAAAATCTTAAGGTGAGTAATATATTCTGTCTTCTAAAGTAATCACAACTTTATAAGATAGGATTTCACCATATAACCGATACAAATTTCTTTCATCGTCAAATAAATACTTAATTGCGTTTTAACAAAAATTATGTTCTAATCTAAATAATAAATGGAGTATCATCATTTAAAGTTATTATAAGATTAAAAATGCCTTCTTACATAGAATGAATAAAATATTCACTTGAATATCACACTGAAGATAAACTGGTACTCATGTACATATTTCCAGTAATTAACAAACATGACAACCAGTTCATATCTAATGATTAATATCAGACCTTGAATCTCTTTTATAGACTATTTCTTGTAGATTGTGGCCAAATATTGAATAATAATAATAATCATAATAATAACAATAAAAAATTCATTATGTCCTTGACATTTGTACAATCATAGTAATAATAATATTCTTCTTAATTTCTGTTTTTATCTTTTCTTTTGTTGAAACGAAATGAAAAATTGTACTGATTTTGTCATTTCGCTAATTAATATGAATATTCTTATCATTTTTAAATTGAACAATACCGCTTACTATTTTTTTAAATGTGATTTGTCAATTAAATTATGTATATATCTAAAAATGAATATGCGGATTTATCTATATCTGTTGTTTATCGATTGTTTGTTTATTTACACTTATCTGTGTATCGCGTCATTATCGTTGTATAACTGCATGTCGAAAAATATGGATATCTTCATTTGTTCACCGATTGTCAATTTCATTATACATGTACTTAATATTTAACCATACATTTTAGTGTTTTAAAAAATTTACTTACTATAAGCTGACAAGTTGTATATCCGGTATTATAAACCATGAAATGGTCAGTATTAGTCAATTATATTAGGTAGATGTTAGTATGTCTTATTTTTAATTATCTAGACAATGAATATCCGACCCGTTTACTTCTATGACTTTAAAAATGTACATCGTGGATATTTAGTTTGATCAAATTCACTATTTCCAAGTTTAGCTGCAAATTGATTGTTCATTTAGTATTCAGGGTTTAAACACTCTTCAACTTCAGTTAATCAATAAATATAATTTTACCAACCTTCGGTAGCTCCATGGTTATTCATCCTTACTTACAAATCCATTGTTCCTATAGACCATGCACATAAGTTAAAAATATTCAAGACTTATTTACAAAAGTATGTATTGGTGGGATGATACATTTTTCAACAACTATGATTATTAACGAGATTCTAGAAATGTTATCTATCATATAATTAATGAACACAGGGAATTAAAGTGAGAATAATTGATTTTCTAGTCTTTTACTAATATCAAAAATGGGAAAAGCACACAACGATTGACAGAAGCCTGAAATTTAGACCACCAGAAGCTGACTCAATAGTCAAAATGTGACGCTGTAGGTACCAAGTTTGATCTCTAGTGCGATCATAGATATGCACTGTTGAAGAGTCACAAGCTAGTACAAAACAGTTGTCATATCTTGTATGGTTTTCAATAATAGTTCACTCACCAATTGAAGTTGATAGATGTGGCGAAATCTACCTAAAAATTGAGATAAACTTTACAACTGTTAAGATAACTCTCAGTATAAACTTTAATTTAAATTTTTCATACCATCATTAATATCACTGATGATATAGAATTTCAGATTAAAGAATCACTGTATTTGAACACTGATACCATGGAATAAAAGCATCTTCACTCGTATTCAACTTATTTGAACTACTTAAAATCCCGATTAAAAAATTTGACTGTGGATTAATTTACTTTCTAAAGAATGTAATGAATAAAGATGTGTAGTCATGTATTTGTCTAACATTTTGTCCGCTATATTTTTTTGCATGTGGACACATTCGTGTGTTAAAACTCAGTACGTGTGAAACACAACTTGTATATTGTTATTCATTTACTTTTACTGGTACTTTTCTTACTAAGATTTTTAGGTTGATTTACTCATAACTTGTACAAAATGCATCATTGTCAACCATATGTAATAGTTACAGATTTTCACTATAAGTCTTGTACAACAATGGTGACTGCTATCAGCTTGAATGAACTCTTAGAAATGACCATGTCTTTGATTAAAGTTGTCAACAACAGTTATTGCCCTCTGAGTTAACCGCGACCTGTCTATCCAGAATTGTAGACAGCTGAGTTCATTATTTTAATAACCACTTTTGATTTGAAAGTTTATCATAATATGGATTAGGCATATATTTTAAAATCTTACGACTAAGTTTAATCTATCCTCATCAAAACAATTTCTAATTTGATTGATTTTTATATTGGTTGTTTGAATCTTCCCACTGATGTTTAAGACTGCAATTGATCAGTCTGTTATCGACACATGTGCGTCTAGTGCGGATTGTCTAAATGTCGTTTCGAGTCACAAGCATTATAAGCAAAAATGGATGGTAGCTAGCAGTGGAATCCAGGGTGTGCGTTTCGTCCTATTTGGGACTCCTGGTTTCCACTGCTACCACCAACCATATTTGCTTATAATTTCTCATTTGTTAATTTCGCTTTTACTGTAATTCGGTGTGAACACTTTTCTAGATTAAATATACAAAATCATTGAAACTATGAAACATATTCTTACATTAAAGTAAGAGTATTGATATCATGCATTATCAGAAATAAATTCCATTTACTAAACATTAAAAAGTTTGTGTATACTCACATGTTCCTTTCATATACACAAGCATACATATTAATATCATCAAGAATTTTTAAAAAAAACTTCATTTGTTTAATGATCCTATCACATGGAAAGATCCTTTTCTTTATCAAAAGCCCTTTCTCCCCCTTCTCCACCCCTCTAATTTGAAAATCCCTCCTTTAAATTGTATTTCCATTTGTTGTCATGCATTTCCAATTTAGTTGGGTAATTACCAAAATAATAAAACTACTACTCCACTTCTCTTATGCCTTGTTATCCAACTCATTTTTTGTTTCTTCTTAATTCTGCTAGATTGAAGTTCATATATTTAATAATTTAGAGCAAAAACCAATCCCTCCAAAATATATGGCATTATACATAGGATTAGCCGTATTTGGAGGTTTATTACTGTTATCCATTCTAGTTATTATACTTTATAAAGTAAGTTGACTATCAATATATTCATAATATTTGTAAAATAATAAAAATATTCACTATGAAGTTGTGGAGATTGTTAAATTCAATTTAAATCATGAACCAATTCGGTCCAACCATCAGTGGAGCTAAACGTATCTCGTGAGGCAGCTACCCACCGAAACGAATGGAAGATGGTTGCGCATTGCCCTGGATTGATTGAAGTTAGACACTAACACCGTTGGATTCCGGCCCAGTGGTCTACGGGTTAGGAGTTCACGCGTGAGCCCAGAAGTCCTGGGTTCGAGTCCCGTGTGCTAGATCGTGGATGTGCACCGTTGAGAAGTTCCTTACCAGGATGAAATGGCATTCTTTTTCTAGTATTATTTTTAAAATCATTATTTGTTGATTACAGCATATGATACATGCATGATTTTGGTTGATAAACTGATTTCCCCTTAATTGGAATTATGAACCATTAGAGCTAGGAAAGAGAAAACATAATGAATTTCGACGACAACAATCATCCCAACAGTTAACGTAATTCAGCTGTCAAAAAGCAGATTTCATTCGATTTCAACTTAATTACTAGTAAATTTTAGACTAAATGATTTGATCAAGGACTTTTAATTTTTGTTTAAATATTCAGGGAAATCTATTGTGAGTTAAATATCATCTTACACTGGCAACTAATAGGCAATAATCATTTCTATCTGTAATATCAATAAATCTTAGGTAAACGGTAAAGTGGAAACCACTTCAAAGAATAAATCTTGTTCAGTTTATGCTTGTTAACAATGAAGTGTTTATTACCGTGGCTCTAAAAAAGGCCACCCCTAAAATACACGTGGGAATCGCATAAAAAGCCTTAAATAAAAGTATTCTAACAAAGAATCCATAGGTGATTAGGATTCATTTACCAAAAAGATCTGGATAAAATATAAACAAATGAAATTTAGGAATTTCAATGATTAACTCTACCTTGATCAAATCAAAACTATCCTCATTTGTTAGGAATAGAGATGACTAACAAGAATAAAAACGTATAAGTGTTGTCATTAATAACAGACAATACGAAGTTAAACATTAAACAAGGTTGGTCCTCATCCCACCTGAAAATATTAAACAAACAGTTAATGATGTCATCCGAATAAACTTTTAGCTTTCGACCTATCCATAACAACTAAATAGCTTATTTTTATTTACAAATCTAGTATACAGATAATGTGAATTTGATTAACTTAATATTAACTTGCATTATTTTAGGCCGGTTTCTTTAAACGTAAACGTTTCATGCGAAGACGAACAAAAGTACCGCCTACAGAACCGACCCAAAGACTTGGTCAATACACTTCAACTGAACCAAAGCAAAGACAACGGTTGATTTCACCAACTCAAACAACCTATCATGACAATAGAAAAGTCAATTCAAAACGAACAAATTATCATCCAGTGCCTAACACACAAGAACCAGCCTATCGTAGGACACCTTACTCACCTTCATCTGACTTTCCTATTTCACATAAATAGTAGACACTACATACAATGATAATTATAGATGTAGATTTTTTTTATTTTCTAATTTACCAATTGTCCTTTATAGGTAATTCAGAAAACGATCAATAATTACAACGATATATATATATATATATATATATATATATATATCGACTGCTGCTCCGATAATATACACTACAACTATAAAATGTTCAAATCCTATCATTTTACTCAGAATACTTTTCTATTTGCTCACAATGTTTGTTTTCTCTTACCAACCTTTTTGTTACTCAATATTGCCAATTATCAAATCAACGAAATAATTGCCAACTTTTTCTGAGATGCTTTCTATATTACCTTTATATATATGTATGCTATTCATCCGCACACACGCACATACATATCTAGATGCTGAGCACAAATGAGGCTTGGCGAACTAATTGTTTGAATTTTTCAAATTTGTATCAATTAAACTTACTACTGATAGTAATAACAGTAGTATTAATGATGACAGTGAACTAACCTATACTAGGACATTTTCAGATGACATTTTTATATGTACAAATATCTGGATACAGCGTCGATAGTGAATTTCCACAAATATCTTTTGTTTGGCTCGATTTTTTTTATAAATCTTATTTTTCGACGGAATGAAATCTTTTCAATTTATTTAAGGGGAAACTAGAAAGAACTGCAATAGTTGCGCAACCTCCATAGAAGGCTATCATCGTTATTACTACCTCATTTATCAGGTGCAGACTCATGTATTTGGCTTTAAGACATACTATGATTGTGAGGGCTACTAGTACTACCCAACTGCCTAGACAGAAGGTGGCGTGAAGTTCGAACCTGATATTACGTGCTTCAAAGTCCAATACCCTAATTACTGAACCACCCCACCGGAAGTATTGAAGCAGATAAAAATCATATATGTAGGACAACTTTTAAACAATATTTCAGTTTAGTGTGTTACGTAGTTTCTCTGGAGACTGCTGACGAACGTTTGTCTTCGAATCAAAGGTCGAAAACGGGAAAACCAAAATGTACCACAGTAGTGCACCAATTCTGCGTGCCATGGTTCATAAAACAGGAATGATAGAGCAATGACGATACGGAAGTAAAAATATACATACTAAGATTTATTTATTTGAACACATAAATATTGGTACAAGAGAGCACTAAATATATATGCGCCACACAAAACAATGAAAATTTGAAAAGAGAAAAACAAAAAAAACAGGAGGATAAGGAACGTTAAAAAAAAGAACAATAACAAACAGATTAATGTAAGGTAGTGTAATAGTAATAATAATAATAATAATAATAATAATAATAATAGTGGGTAAAACGGGGAGGTACAACCAGAATTCTTTCAATTAAAGAAGAAGCAACCACTTTTCATGAAAAAAGTAAAGGAGGTTGCAGAAGGATCGCCACTGGCTTCTATTCTGAGCCATATCTGATAACGTCTCTAGCCACTGTGTCACACCATCTCCCGGACCCCAGCCAAGGAGTCGTGAAGGACCAACAGAAGCCAGCCCTTTGCAGCTTCCTTTCATACCACGACACCATGTCATACACTGACCACCTCCGCTTTTTCCAACCAGTCCCAGAGTTGGCAAATAATGCACGACGAGGAATTCTCTGGGACGACATTCGTAGAACATGTCCAAGCCACCGAAGTCGGTGTTTCAAGATGGCGACACCAATTTCATTATCGTCTCTGTGACCGAACACACGATGCCGAACCTCTGCATTACTAACATGGTGTTGCCACTGCATGTCAGAAATCCTTCGAAGACAGCGATGATAGAACACAGAGTCGTCTAACATCCTCAACTCGGAGAGGCCAGGTTTCACAAGCATAGAGCAGAACTGCTCTCACCGACGCGTTGTAGATCCGACCTTTTACAGCCAGACTAACTTCACGAAGGAGCCAAAGATGGCCCAGATTGGCATAAGCCGCTCTGGCTTTCACTATACGTGCATTGATCTCATCACTCACACCACCACCAGCACTTATGCAGCTACCCAGATACACGAACTTCTCGACTACTTCTATCTGCTCACCATCCAGGGTGAGTACAGGATTAGAATCCTGTCAGTCTTGGAGAAGCACTTTGCACTTCGAATGTGCAAAGCACATACCATACCTACGGACATTGATTGCCAACTGATTAAGTGCGGATTGCATGGCTTGGGCATTCTCGCACAGTAAGACAATATCATCCGCATACTCAAGGTCGAGAAGTCTTTCTCCAGGCAACAGACCCACACCACCATTACCTACATCTGTCAGAGCTGTTTCCAGAATGTCATCGATGGCAAAGTTGAAGAGGAATGGTGAGATTGGGCAACCCTGCCTAACCCCACTGCTCGAATGGAATAGTGGAGAAAGGTGATTGTATGCCCTCACTCTGCCTGAGGTGTTTGTGTATAGGGCTTTTAGGATGTTAATAAACTTCTCAGGCACACCCTTCTTCAATAGACAATCCCAGAGAACAGTTCTGTCCAACGAATCGAAGGCGGCCCTGATATCAAGAAACACTACGATTGTTGGCCTTTGATAAGTGTGACGGTGTTCTAGTATTTGGCGGAGGGTGAAGATATGATCAATACATCCTCGACAGGAACGAAAACCAGCCTGCTCCTCGCGAGTCAATCCTTCTCGGGTTTTGAACAACCTACGAAGTATGACGGAAGCCAACAGATTGGACACAACCGGATGTAGACTTATCCCCCGATAGTTGTTATAGGAACGACGTGAACCCTTTTTGAAGATAGGGACAACTATAGACTCATTCCACGACGTTGATACACTCTCTCGCCCCCAAATGCCCTGGTATGGCCGAGAGTGGGGTGGGCCCGCCCCCCCTCCAAATGCTCTCACACGGCCACGCGTATACAGCCTCTGCCAGGGAAGTCCTACTCACTGCATTCTCGTGGAGGGGGTGTTGTTTACGAGAATGAGAAGACGAAAAGCGGATGTCTAGCGCTTTAACCGAATTCCAAACCAATGGTGCACATGGGCTCCAGTATCCTGCGGGAAAAAATGGCGTATGAACCAAATGTTAGTCATCGGCTAACATGGGACCATCAGGTCAAAGGCTCGTAGTGTGGCCCCCTAAGAAAACCACCTGCTTCGGTCTGGGCACCCGGGCAGTATCACAACCCACACACAAACATGATGAAATGTTGACATTTATGGAAGATACGTTTATTGCTCCAATTAACATACTAAGAACGAGTAGCAGATAGAAACTGAAACCATACAGTCTAACTTTTAGAATAAAGAACCGATACACATGAACAGATGTTTCAACCACCCCAGTCAAAAACTAGTTTACAAAATGTTTTCGCGATAGGGTCAGAATACGACAGACTTTACGTTTTCCTCATATCTTTGTCTGTTCGTGTGCTTATATTTTGTCTACTATATATTCTGAGTCCCGCTAAACAATCTGGCTCAAACCATTTTCATCCACTCACATGGTTGTCGTTTACAAATACATGCTTAAAATATATTCCTTCAGTACACTTCATATCTGGCTTTTTATACCAAGGCTGTAAATTGTTTTTCAAAGCATGGTGCACGGAAACAAACTCGATTTCAGTCAACTAACGACTACAAATGTGCTAACCATTCAACTTTATCCGCTTTTGAACCAAGTTTCTTATCAATTTTTTTACTTCTATTTTAATCATCAGCTCATCGCTATTGAAGCTGTGACATATTTGAATAACTTTGGATTTCTACGTACTTATTTTCTTAAGTATGCTATCACGTGAAAAGTAATTTGACCGCTTTGAAACTGTGGTAAGATGCTAGATATTGGAGAACTTCACTAATTCTGTGGATTTTATTTCAGAAATCCACATCCAAAGGCTGCATTTAACTTTAAAATCTGTAGTTTATATAAGAAGTTAGTCAGGAACTACGGTTCTAGTTTAGACGGTGTGGCAGCTATCATTAAAAGGCGTACCACAGATCCAAATCAACAGAGTACATGCTCTCTAACTAAACAATCCCGGTCAAGTTTACGGTGAACTATCATCGAAACTGTGGTGTTCGTCAGGTTAATCCATTTTCTCAAATCTTACCTAACCCCGTCATAAACATTCTTTTAAAAATGACGCCCTCGTAGTCTGGCTCTTTAGGAATTTATATCCTACCAGAGGATTCAATTGTTGACTTCGAATACCTGAATGAAAAGATCCAGATTGGTGAAGGCACAGAATGCAGTCTTCTGATCGTCTTCAGCAACAACGCTCGCATGTCGGGGATGTAATTCTCTTCCTCTAAATGTAAAATGTTGCTTCAGAACTGGCCTGTGTCAACGTCCGAACCAATAAAAGGATACGAAGCAGTTGAAAGCGCCGATCACTTCATTTGTCTTGGAAGTCTTTACAGCCCTGGTGGGTTGGTGTCTGACAGAATTTCAGCACGAACCCATGAAGCATGTTGGGTTCTGCCGGCTTGCGTCACTTGTGGGGGAAATATTCACCTTACAAGGAACGAATTTAGTAAGCATCAGTTTGCTCTGCTCCACTTTACGTGTGGGAAACATGACCATTCAGAACATAGAATATTTGCAGATTACTAGTATTCTATCATATGTACATTTTAATCATTCCTCATACATGTTGGGAACATCGAGTGACCGGACAATGACGAGGATAGGCAAACGACAATAGGTATGAACGGCAAATAGATATAAGTAATCGCCAACTAACTTGACTGGGGCATGAAATACGTCCAATCACCGTTTACCTCGACGGGTCACGTTGTCTGGAGTAGGAGTAGACTGAAAGAAAGCTAGGTGTTATAACCCAGCTATTCCTATCGCTTAGTATTCTTGGACACCAATTCACTCGACAAGTCCTCAAATCAGAACACGATTGAACAGGAAAGATTATATTCCAAATAACAAGGTTAGATGGAAGTAAGAAGCACAATAGGAAAAACGTTAGTATATTTATAGTTTTTACATGAGAATATTTCTAGAGTATTCTCCAAGTACCGACTAGCGCTGATTGGGCAAGAATTAGCCAATCAGCATGCACCAAGACAATCGTGCATTGAGCATGCTTTAGTCCAATCTATGTCCCACTAACACTAGGAGTGGCCAAACTAAGATATAGTTTCAGTCTATGAAGTCATTGACTGTTGGATTGACCCATGTAGCAAGACGAATAACACCTGGTTGAGATGTGCACGATCCTCGTAACCAATAGTTGGAGATGTTGTATGGCACAGATCGGAATAGATTGCAATGATGCAGGTGCATCCACTATATCTCACCCTAGTTCCTGAATCCTGAGATCTTATACTTTCTATACATAACCTTTCATACTACTACTGATGCTGTTGCTACTTCTAATACTCCACGATGTCTTGATAACTTTATCTTGGTGTGCTAATGTGATGTGGCAACTTGAGCCAATGCACATGTTGCAAGATATACGTTGTGTATGACTAAGACAGTGCTGGTACAACTACTAGTTCGATCCGTACCACCACTATCATAAATACAGTTATCCAATCGAGTGTTGTTAGAGATACGAGGGTGGCTGCACTACACTATTATTCACATCGCGAAAAAAAACACCTCTTGAGGGACCCGAAAAGTGAACTAGGTTAGGAGTAGTCTTGACAATCAAATTAATACTGCTGTCAAAAATTGACCCCTATGGTGCTCTGATAAACATTATAATTCCAACTGAAAACTGAAATACAAGGACTTGACGATTAAGAACAAAATAAGTACTTAGAACTTGATATCCAGACTGAGAAAATCAAACCATAACTACTTCATAACACACAGGAAACGCACTACTTAAAACCTGTCATGAAAGCCCAAAACAGACTCGAGGACATTTTGGTTGTTCATCCGTCGGGAGTCTGTTACATTTTGACTGATTATTTGCACCACGACGATGTGGCATTAGAAATACTTCGTGTTCTGATATGCAATAAAATTTTCAGCTTTGACAGGTTAATACTGAGATCACTATTCGAAACATTTTTGTTAAATCACTATGAAATTTCAAAGTACGTTTACCATGGTTACGTTTGATAACAATAACTCAATTTATGAATCCGAATAATTGTAATTGATACATAACCAATCGGATTAAAATTACTTTTAACTCTATTGTGATCATCACCAACAAGAATTCCATTATGAAATCAAATTCTTTTATTATGAGCCCGACAGGGAAGAGAGGATAAAGGCACAGGCGTATTAGTTTGTGACAAGAATTGTACGTCAAAATTATTTTATTTATTTGAACACAAATAGAATGAAATGACGATATTTACTGGAAATACTATTCACGCGTCGACTAACTGTCCGCCACAATTATCAAAATCAAAAACATAAAGAGACTAATATCAAGTCTCATACAGATTCACTCCATATTAGTAATACAATCGAAGTACCATATTGACACTGAATTTTAGTAAAGTTATATACAACCGGAAATAACGTACATAGTACATTGTTAAAAATGTTTCGTTAGGACACTAAACATATCTGCCACTAGTATTCAACATATGTAATAACCAGTAACGCAACCGCATGCACTAAGGGCCTGCAAACTAACATTTGGTCGACTACTTCGAATCTTAACATCTAAATTTACTAAGAGTAACACATCGCGAAAATTGCAACTTACTGGAGCATGCACGACCTAAGCACAAATGAGTTATCGAACGCTTGCGTAAATAAAACACGAGTAGGGAGATAAAGCATGGAATGATACCTAATAAATAGATCAACCTAGACTGAATAACACCCACATCCTACTGCTGAATCTGATACAGTAGCTCGACTTTGAAATTCCACCCTGAGACTGATGATAACAAAAGGTTTCCTATCTTTCTAATTTTCTTAGAGTTTGCTTAAACAAAATCAAACGGTATTTAGAGACCTGGAAATTGGTATCGACTAACGCATTAGTGCAGTTACTGATCTACTAACCTAGAACTTACTCAGCTGTAAAGACAGGTAGGTATACAAATCAATAAAGAACATTATCGGGGTTTGGACTCTGTGGCACTAAATCTAGTACTGTTCGCTTAATCTTGGATGCCAACTGATGTCACCCGACCACAGACAACCCAGAACTGTCTCTACGATCGCCCTCTATATATGACTGCCCTCATCATTTACTAAATCGTTAATCCAGTTGAGCACCTATACGCCATCAAGATAGAAGAAGAGCTTTACTGATTCCAGCATCAATATATTAAGATTTATTTACATAGGTCGACCTCTACCATAGCCCCCATGGAAATGAACCTCGCTATCACCAATGGCTGCATCTTTACCAGGAGTACCGAAGCCAGTCATTCCAGGAGTGACCGGCCCTCTTCTGAACGCGACACGGCCATCAGAGGGACCACGCTGTCCACCCTGATCCATTCCTACGGCTGGTGTTCGAATATCCCGGGGTGGAGCTTTTAGAGTAGCTGGAATAATGTCAGAAGGTAAGTGCAAGACCTAGGGAAAATGAACACAGAGTAACATCTTACCTCACGCAAATAATTGATTCCATCAGCTGTAAGGAACCAGTAGTATGTTCTCCAAGCGTACTGTTCACGAACATATCCTCGAGATTTTAATGATCGCATTGTCTTGATGACATAAAGATTTAGAACGTTGATTGTCGGGTGATTGTAGCATGGTCGGGTATCGTTCCTTGCTGTTAACACACCATCTTGAATAACCTTCTCAAATATACTATTCCGAATTGCTAGTGGGAGTAACATTGTCCAAGGAGGGAAAACTTGTAAAACACGCGGTAAGTTGAGAACCTAAAGTGAGCGCGGAATTGTGACGTCAATGCGTCAAACAAACCAGAGCAAAGTTTAAATGGTTCAAATGGTTGTGGACGAAAGAGAAGAAGCTTTCGTTTAGCAGGCTTTTGTATCTAGTAGCGATGGATCACCAATACCTCCAGGAATGAACCTAGGTATATTATCGATAAGAGAGGGAAGAAAGAAATCAGTAACTTATAATAAAATGTTATCCTTAGTCCTTAAGAATAGGTCAAGTTTCCTCTTAAAGAGCTCCTGAGAAGTCGCCCGGACTAGTTCAATCGACAGCGAACTCCAGCTTTGAAAGCTCTTAAGGAGTAGAAGTTGTGCCTACAGTCCCGTCTGCTATGTTGTATCTCCAATTTCTGGGTGTTACCCCTTAGGTTTGCATTGAGACTAAACTTAAGTAGGTGTTTAAGAGGATGACCATAATTTTTAAGAATACTGTAAGCCATCGAAAGGTCACCTTTAAGACGCCTACACTCTAATGGGTAACGGTTAAGTGAGTGGAGACGCCTTCATATGGTTTGAATTTGAGTCCCTGAACTGACTTCGTGGCTCGTCTTTGGATACGCTCCAGAGCGTCTTTATCGTTTTGGAGTGAGGGGGAAATAATATGTTTCCGTACTCTAAATGGAGACGATTCAAACTGTTGAAGATTGTGAGGAAAGTTTTCCCGTCAAACTGGCCAAAAATGAGCTTGAATGTTACCAGTGTAAGGTTTTCTCTAAAAGCATTTTTGTCACAGTGAGCATAAGACTTCAAATCGTAAAGCACCAGGACTCCTTAATCTTTTTCGACTCGAGATACTACTAGAGATGAGTTTCCTAAGGTTTAACTGTAGTCTGCGATATGTCGCATATGGACTACTTTACATTTTGAAGTGTTAAACGCAAGTCCGTTATTGTCTGCCCAACTTTGAAGTCAAGTCAGATCCTTTTTAAATGCCTGTATATCTCTCTCCAAAATTTCAAGTCATCGGCAAAAAAATTAAGTCTGACGATGTCTGTTAAGGGAGATCATTTACATAAATCAGGAAGAGAAGAGGTCCTAATACTGAGCCCTAGGGGACACCACTGGGATAAAGTGAAGTTAACCCTGACCTTAAAATGTCGGTTTTTTAGGTATGAAATGAGCCAATAAATTAGAAACCATGCTGTTGGGGTGAGAAAAAATTTAAGGACAGTAAATAGTCATGTATATCATCGCATATCTGAGACTCCATGATTTTTGAATGTATAGAGAGAAGAGCCACGGGTAGGTAACTTGAAGGTTCGCTGCATGGGACTCCTTCAAAAATTGGTGCAATGTGATCCAGCTTCCAATTTTCAGGGAATTTTTCTTGACTTAGCGAGTGTGAGAACATCACGCTGAGCGGTGTTGCCAGGATCCAGGCCTCTTCCCTCAGTATGGCAGAATGAACAATATCTGGGCCAGGAGAAGTGTCATTTCTTAAGTGCTGCAGTTTCCGGAACACCAAGTCAGCTCTCAAGTTCACTACGGAAAGTCCTGTGCAGATGCAGATGAAGCTGTCATCAGTACAGTTGATGTGGGTCGGTTGAAATGTCTGAGTGTATTGTTCAGCCAAAAGGTTAGCGGCGTCGCCGTCGTCATTCGTCGGGCCATTAGGACCTAGCAATTGGAAAACTCTAGTTTTGGCTTGACAAAGAGAGGCTGCATAACGGAATAGGCTTTTCAAATTGTAGACAAATTTATCCATAAGCTTTATCCGGCACAGAAGCCTGTTTTCTCTTATAACCTTCGTGCATATGTTCTTTATATGTTCGTCTTGCCTGTACGCGCCGTTGTTCTCAGTCCGTTTGTATTCTGCCCAACAGTGCCTTTTGCGGCTTAGCAAACGAAGAATGCGGTTCTTGATGATTTTAGGTTGCTTGTAGTTATCGGGGACCGTTCGAGCAACTGACTTCTTTGTAGCACACAAGAGCGTGTGTAGTAAGAAGTCCCAATGAGCATTCACATCAAGTTGAATATGAACATTCCAATCCACCTGTTGTACATAGTCCTGTTAAGCTGACACATTCGACAGTTTGAAATTCCTGCGCCTGTTGTTGGTGTGATATCTTAGCTCATTTTCGCAGACAAAACTGAAGACTATAACGACGTGATCGCTTTTCCCCAGGGGATCCAGGATTGAGAGGTTGTCAACTAGGAATTATTCGTTTGTAAATACACAGTCTAAGTGCGACGGTGTCTGACTGTTCCTCCAACGAGTTGCCGACTTCACATTTTTGTATAATCCCAAATGCTCAATGAGGTTGAAGAACCGAACTTCAGTTGAGTTTTCAGCTCCAATATACTTATGTTCCGCGAAATTGACTCTAGGGAGATTGAAGTCCCCTAGAATCAGGATATGAGTGAAGCTGAGACGCGTGGAGCTGGACAGTCCTTCCAGCATACGACTGTCATACTCGATGTTGGCAGTGGGCTTCTTATATGTGACTCCGACTAGGCATCTCGAAGTAGTAGACAATCTTGTAGAGCACCATATGGATTCCTCAATATTGTTAAACTTGTAGTGATCTACTTTTGTCAACAGAACGCGATTGGTTCAATGAAAACAATTATTATTATAACCAATTTTACCAGTGACTGTTTTACTGTGCTCATTTGTTTAACTATGCTAATGACAGCCATTACACTTACTCTACCGTTGACTTTGAACTTGTACAAATTCGGTTACGATTAGTAACCACGTTTGTACTCCTTTGGCACGATCTCGGTATTCTTTCGATACCACGCGATCGCCAGCAAATACATCTCGACTACAGCCATCATCTGCCTTCTGATATTGGCCTACGGGGGGTCTTATTGGTTAATTGGCACGTAGTTTTCTTGTAGTGGTGTTCATAGTCAAGCACGATTCGACACCACGCTACAAACTCATGGTTGTGAACTTGATGTACCACCAAGCAAGATCGTATGTATACGGCTACTCCACCCCCAATTCCTGTCTTTCTGTCGTTGCGAAATAAAGACATCCCAGGTATTGTTAGATTCTGGTCCGTAGACTGGGAAGATAAGATAGTTTTTGGGTTTTGATGAGGAAAATATTAAACATAACTTTCCTACAAAATGCATTTACCAACGAAGTGAAGTCGCCAAAGTATTTTGAGGCTTTGCTAAGTAAACATAATGCACAATAGTTACTTTGAGCTGCCTGTTAAAATTTTGTGGCATACCATTCACATCAGTTATGTATTAGCACTGACTCCTCTAAGCAGTGAGTAGGAACTTAGCTAGATTCTAAAGGCAATAATTTTCTTGCATGCTGGTTGAAATGGTCATTCAAGGTTGTCAGTGCTACCAAACATTGTTCTTCTCCCCTGTTGGGGGTGGTAAACAGCATGACAGCTGTAAGAGATGGTTCCATAAAATGTGTAACAATATATCACTGAATGAATTTACACGTTGCAAAAAGATGTCTCAACCTGACTATGCGAAGAATACCAGGCGAACTATTGTGTCTGCTCAGTTTAATGATGGAGTTGCCAAGTGACAATACTCGTTGAGTGAATCTGACAGCAGAATGGGAGATTAAAAATATAACAACCAGTGCTGCCAGCTCAACTCTCACTCGTTAGACTGAAAGTTAACAATGGACAACTAAAGAAAGGCTCCCGGTATTTAGTGAACCGGAAACACTGGCAACACAATCCAAAGCCAATAAGAAGACTTTTAAAAAAGTCAAATCCGTCCATGGTCTGACTATTTGGAGTTTAGAGGTTTCAGAAGAGACGTAGCCTGCAAGACGACAATTATACGGACTGCAATCGGCTGATTCTGTCACCAGAAATGTGCTCACAGAAGAAGCTTTGGGAGCACATATTATTAAGGCAGTAAACCTTGGCAGGTCGGGATGGTACAAATCCAATCTAGACATGGATTACTGACTAGAGGAAGGACACACCGTTGTCCACATTGTAAAGCTGACGACTCTATCTTAAATCGCATCTTCACGTAGAGAATAATATATTTTTACCTTTTCGATGAGGATTTCAGTGCGCAACACGTCAATCGTTTACAACTTACAACTTCAGGTGGATGCATTAAGGACAGCCTATTGTTAAATATTATTCAGTGCGCACTTGAACAATGTAAAACGAAACCAATACACATTGTCGTAGAACATGCACCATTATTGTTAGGACTGGTCTTCATACACCACTATGATAATATAACGGCGAGACTATAATTTATGGCCGAACCAATCGAGTATAAGATAACAGGTCTTCAATTTTGACACGAAATTCATTCATCAATTTGACAAAATTAAGTATTATCATTACTTCTGATGTCAGTTTGTGATGAAAACCATAAATATTATTCCTAACATTGAACGTCAACTGTAAATCACAATTAGAAGCCTTCGCATAGCTTTATAACCCTCATTTGGTCCTAGTTATTAAGTGGACATCCTCAAAGTCACTTTTGCGTCGCTCTAAATTCGTCCATAAAATATAGTCTCAACGATTATGCTGCTTAACAATTACACGAAAAAATATACGTTTAGTACTAATCCAGAAATAAATTCCAACAGTTGCCACTCGCTATTCTCAATAGTATTGATGCTGATTTCGTGTGCCAAATACCTATTTGACTCGTGTCTGTGACCCTGAATTGATTTGACTTCCTATTGAAAAATTCTATTGCAGGTAGGACAAGACGATTCCACCAAATATGATTCCACTTATGACTACGAAAAATATAACAACAAAAACGAGTTATAATAATTATGGCGAAGAAAAGCCAGTTGGTACTCGAATACAGTATTTTCCTAAAATCCAGTGATAGACTGAAACAAAATCACAAAATTCGGTAAAATACAGTTTACTGTTGACAATCACAGGCTAAAACTACTACTGACAGTAAAAATGATTCACTCACACCACACTTTGCTACAGTCAAGTTATAAGTATCCATCGTTATGAAGATTGGGATGAGAAACGATCAATCAAATTAAACACCAGAAAATACACCTTCGGTATGAAAAATCTAACTCCAGTAACCCAAA